CTACAGGATCAAATATTTCATGTTAAGAATCAAATGGTCCCCAGAAACAAGTTTTTTTAAATATATATCTGCATTTTTCAAAAGCATTTGATCGCCTAGATCACAAAACTCTAATACATAAGCCTTTCGATTTTCCGAATCGTTTGTTAATTTGTTTTCTTCACACTTATCTAACTATCTAATCTATTTCTTTGTTCACACTTCCGATGAATACATCGCTTCATCAGGCGTTCCTCAAATTTCAATATTGGGGCCATTACTATTCACCATTTTTGTTAATGACATTGTTAAAGACCTTGATATCAGTTTTTTCATATATGTGGCCGACGTAAAAATTTAAAAAAAATCGATGTTCCGAGGATTGTCTTACTCTCCAGCGTAGTTTTAAGCAAATCAACAATTGGTCCCTGAACCGCCATGAGTGCAGCTGTGAAATATGACTATCATCTTTTCGATAAAACTCTCTCCCGTTCTAACACTTTTTGTAACTTGGGAGTCATATTCAACTAGAAATTATCCTTTGTACCTCATGTTAATAAGGTATTGGCAAAAGCCTCAAAAAGCTATGGATTTATCTTACGTTGCACCAGAGACTTTAAAAGTACAGAAGTGATTAAAATATTATATAACTCGTACGTCAAATCTAAGTTGGAGTATGGATCAGTAGTTTGCTCTCCTGGATGCAATTGTCATATTAATAATCTGAAAAAAATTCAGTAAAGTTTTTGAAGTATGTATGGTATAAGTTGGAAGGAGTATAACCTCCACAAGGCTTTCCGTATACGAAATTGTTAAATAGATATGGTTATGTGTCCCTTAGTGATCGCCCCGGTTACCATTATTTAAGGACTTCATTTAAAATTTTTGAATAATTGTTTGATTGCTCTGCCCTATTGAATAGACTAAATTTTCTGGAAATTCGTATTAACCCTAGACATTCTTTCTACCCACACCAAGAACTAATATTTTATAATTTTCACCTATTTTGTCTTTTCCCATTCTTTTATTTTTTATTAGAGTTAATGTTTCTATTAAGCTAGACTCTAGGTTAACTTTCGTCATATCATTATTGCTTGCAATGCCTCTGTAACTATTTAATACTTTGTTTTTTTTGATTTTGTGCCCTCACCTCCAGTTTTCAAATCTAAAAAATAACTTCAATTCTGGTGCTTCCTTTGTCTTATTTTATTTCCACCATTTTTCATTTTCTTCATCTATCGGCTTTTTTTATCGATTTGAAAGCTGCATCAATTTTTCTTAAAACGTTTAGTAAATTGCAACTTTATGGTTAGTCAGTGAAACGTCCTATTATTAAATAATCTCGTAATAAGCCAAAATCGAAAACTGATTTGAGAGACCTCGTATCTCTCTTTATTTATATGTTATGATATGATATTATTATTGCTACTTATAGTTTTCCCATAAGAGATCCACGAACTTCTCGGTAGAACAGCCTGTATTTTTAGTACTAATGTAATTTTATTATACCTGAGTAAACATATAATCATATAATATTTATTCTTTATATTTTTAAAACACCATAAAAGCTCATCCCTGATGCTCTGGCAATAGATAATTGCCTTTAAATACGATATAGTTTTAGGCAGACCATATCGTAGCCGATATAATAACACCTGGTAGTAAAAATTAATACGAGTAGTTAAAACATTTGTGGTTTTATGGTTAAGAGTATAGAAAATGATGGTAAGATCTATTCCTTGTGTGGGGATTTAGTTATTTGAAACACACAACAATCGGAAATGAATTGTGTCATCTCAAGAGGATGTATATTTTTCGCATTTGGTATTTGTCGGATTAGTTTGCGCGAACGCATGTTGGGTAGAGACTTGACTAAGCGAACATAAATTGTAATGATATCAGTAAAGTAAAGGTAATTTGTGGATTTCCTATTTTAAAAATAGAACATAACCCCCGAAATGTCAAGGGCACATATTCAAATAAAAAATATTTCTAAAATATCCATGGAATGCATTGATCGTTGGCCGACGGTTTGAGAACGTTTCGGTAAATTTTATAAAACACTACTTCAGCCATTTGTTTATTAAATACACATTGATGTCCGTTGTTAGTGAAGATAGAGATTTGCGTTTTCGCAAGCCGTTGATACTTTTTTTGCGAAACAAAAGATGACGTTAACAAAATTTTCATGACTTACTTAGTTTTTAAAATACAGGGTTATCTTGGAAATTGTGGCACCCTTCATATCTCGGGTATCATATGAAATCTTTTTAAGTTGAAAAGCGCACCCGATATAGATTTTTACGTAAAATTCAGTGGCGTAGTCAGTTTTTTTCTAAATGGTTTCGTCTTTTTGAAAAAATGTTTTTTTTTTCATGGCCAATTTGATTCGGCTTCTAAAAAATGTATAAGATTATAGGGTTATTTGTATAAATATTATTTATTCCTGAGAATACTTACATACTAACTATTATAATTTGCATGAAGCCAACTTAGTTTAATATTTTATTTTATTCGTAACATTTAACATAGTTATTATAGAAGTTACTGTGTAAGCATAGTCAGGAATAAATAAGACTTACCGCAAATACCTTAAGGAAAATTTAAAAAAATTATTTTTATGAGGTCATTTATACAAATAACCCCCTACCGTATTAAATTATTGAAAAGCTTCTAACAAGCGGAATCAAATTGACCTACAAACCATTTAAAAAAGTTGTTGTGTAAGTATTGCCAGGAACAAATAAGGTAACTATTTTAGATATTTAATAAATTCTTTATACAAATAACCCCATACTGTTATACATTTTTGAGAAGCCCATACCAAGCGGAATCAAATTGATAACTCATAGGGTATTCCATTAAAAAAAAATGAATTCTACGTAAAAATCTATATCGGATGCGCTTTTCACCTTTCCGACATGTCGTAGGATACTCGAGATACGAGGCGTGCCTCAAAACTTCAAATTCACAAAATTACTGTGTATTTTAAAAACTAAGCAAGACATGAACATTTTGTCATTTTTCGTTTTACAAAAAAGTGCCAGAGGTTTAAGTTTAATGGAGATAAATGGCCAACCAACTGGAAAGTACCTAACGCACGAATTGTTAATTAGGTCGAACTTCCGCTATTTCATAAAAAAGTCGAAACTACGTTGACAATAACTGACAGATAACAAACATCTCCATCCGCATTTGTCGAAAAGCAAGTAAATCACTGCCTACGAGACCGACGATTCGGTGAAATTTCTTGAGTGACCTAAATGTTTTGCTCGTCAGTGTATTTATTATATATTGTTTTCTATACCTGTCATAGAACCTCGTTACAAAAAATTAAGGAATCGCAGAGAGCACCCAAATATATATATATAGTGTTAGAGTGTTGAAACGTACGATTCTGTTGATTGCTGAATGCTGCCCATGTAGAAAATAAGCTAGTAGATACATTTTTGATGGGGCATTAAAATTTATATAACAAATTTCTCAAAGATGTGCAAAATTTTACACCCAAACATGATTTCTGATGTATCTGAATAACGCAGGTAAATCAATATATCTTAAGAATTCTGGCCGAATTCTTGCGAGTGTATCGACATAAATAGCTACGTAAAAAAAGAAATATAAAATCAACAATGTTATTGTGTTGGTAATACACCCATTACGGTCAAAAAACACCAGTTTGCTCTCGCACAAAACTCCTAGATTGAGGACAACGTTCACTCTCTCAAAAAGTGAACAGCCCAATGAGTAAGAATGCTGAGCTGGCATTGTTTGATATTAAGAACTTATGAAACCCTCTAGCTAGACTAAAAATAAAACTTCACTCATGAAAAACGAAAATATTCAAATTGCAGATTGGTTTTGTGTTTCGTCTAAAAATTGTCATAGCAGATGTTGTGAGAATGACAAAACGCAAACACACCACAAACTACAATGTTCTGTTTAGTTTACATCACAAAATTTTTCCGTCTGTAAAATACCTAATTACCCACCGATCTAGCGTGCGGGAAGCGTCACTTTACCACGTCAGTTTGTTTTCTCACGAATCCGAGCCACTTCGGACATTTCCGAGATCTTACCGCACGGATTTGGGATCGATCGGATATATTCGGAGATATTTCCCATGCTTTCAATTTTGACGTTTGTCAATTCTGACAGTCATGTCAGTGAATATATTCGTGTTGTTTTGCGAAAATAACGGTCGTAGAAAAAGTATAGTAGGCAACACGTTCGGTAGACTTTTTAACTCACTCGTTTATTAAAAACTCGCTCCGCTTGTGTCAAATAAACTCGTGAGTCAAATGCCGTTTACCGCACTTGTTGCATAATATACTATTATACTGTTAAAAAATTTCTGGATTCCCTTGCGTCCGTTTTTGTTGAGTAGAACCAGCTAACTTGAAACTTTCAGTCAAGCTCTGAAGAAGCCAACAGGATGATTGGCGAAACGTTAGCTAGTTCAACTCAACAACAGAAGTTTTATAAAAACTATTACAGTAGCCTGTAGAAGTTTCTTTGAAAAAAAAAATTCGCCAATTTTTTTGCCATATATAAAAAAGAAAGTATTCATCGTCACTTGCCACCTACCTTGTGTCACTTTACGTACCTCAAAAATTAAAAAAATATATTTTACATCCAGTAGCACAAATAGGTAAACCGTCATATCGAACCCAATTAGTCATTTTTCCTTTCACTAAAGAAACTCGCTCGTGTGGGTATACCTTCAAACTTCGTAAGTAAGTTGAAAACGACTCTCGCACTATAACAATGCTTAGGAAAAAGTTAAGGGCTCGTCTTTTTCGCTGGAAATTCGTAATTGCCCGTGCACAATCACTGTGTAAATGGAGGAAAATAAAACTCCTCACATCGCAGCTTGAAACGATAAGAGCGCAGCTATTATATTACACCCACAACGATTCGAACACAACACGGTTTCAGGTATACTTTTCGTCAGCGACCCTAGAAATTTCATTTTGGAGTTATCGTCGGGAAATCCAAAACTTTGTAATAATCTTCCACAGGGGTCCATAGTAGGATCATGCATTACAATTTCCTCGTCCTAATATGTTTGATGTGGTTGCTGTGTCATCCTTGCGCCGCCAATAGTAGTCGTCATCAAGGACCTGCCGCACTGGTGAGGGGCAAAAAATCTATTCCGGATTCTGCATACAAGCCTGATGAAGTGGTTAATTCCCCGAAGGTGAGTAACTGCTTACAAAGGTGAATCCATCGTAGCAAATTGTACTACATGAGGGTGGGCCAATAAGTTCCTCTTTTTATTTTTTTTTGCTTTATTTTTCAGCATAGTGTCTAGAAAGAGTAAAAAAGTTTTCATGTCGGTGTTCTTATTTCGCTATTGACACCACTAATAACTTTTATTCTTCAGCTGAGTCATGGTGGAACAAGATTTTTTTCGCCAAATATCATAGATTTTCTTTATTTTTTTGCTCCATCGACCCAATAAATGTGCTTACTTGCCATTTTTGACGTTTTTACCAGTTTCAAAGTAATAATTTCCCTTATTACTTTCGAAAAACCGATGAAATGGAATTTTTCGAAAGTATAAGCGCTTGGCAACGAAACTCGTATCTTGGCAACGGTGAAATGATCAGCGTCGAAAAAATTTTTTTGTCTGTTTGTCCGTTTTCCGGTCTCTGTTGACGCTTGATGAAAACGCACACAACTTCTTAAGCCAGTGACTCCTTTTAAACGACCCATACATAAGCGTATAAGAAATAGCCGCCATCAGACATTGTGTCCATCTTTTTTAGCGATTTTCATATGTTTTTTGTGTCCGAGATTTGCTGCTATCGGTTTCAAAATTTTCACAAATATAGAGTCTAGTTCCCTAACGGAATCTATTGATATTGGGGAAGCTGTGGGGTCGGGAAGTATTTTTAACAATTTAAAAACCAGATTTGCAGGGTATCGAGAGAAATGAATTTTTTCTCAAAAACTTTATATACTATCGAAAAAATTCTTGAATCAAAAGACGTGCCAGATCCGAACCAAAAACCTTTATTCTTGATAATTCTTGAAAATTGTTTCCCTGATAAAGACCATAACTACAAGGCTGTCATTCAGATGTCAGTTTGGTTCATATGACTATAGAGCCCACATAGGCAGCTAAACCTTTGGTATTTAAGGTTTTCATATATTGTACAGGGTGTTCGGGATATCCTGTGCTATATTCAAAAATGTTATAGATGTTTCAAATTTGTAGGTATGGACTTCAATTTCAGCGGAGAAGTAAAAAAACTGAACTGCAGAAACTAGGATTTAAACAAGTATTTTAAAAATTAAAAAAAAAATTTTTTTGGTTATTCTTTCTTTCGGCAAAAATTCTTTAACCAAGAGACGTGGTGCTATAACTTTTATTTCAAACATTTTTTCTTTCTTCTTTGTTTCTGAATTATTGGCAAGAATCTTAGTGACCTCGAAAATTGTTCCTTTTCGGAGTAAATTATTGGCGACAAATCAAAAGTCGTAACAAATATGGGTTCTTGGTTCAAACAGTATTGTAAGCCGCGTCGAGATCTACAATTTTTGTATTTACGGTTTTCGTCTATTATACACGCTTTCCGAGATATTTCAAAAATTCATATACCGGTAAGGTAGGAGGTCTAGGGCTATAACTTTTACTTGAAGCATTTTTCGGATTGTGTACAGGATGTGTCCATTATGAGCAAAAAAATCTAAAAGATAGTGGAAATTGCATTTTTCCTGGGAAAATTATTGGCCATAAATAAAAAACTATAAAGCATGGGATAACTTGGTTTAAACGGTATTCGTAAATTATGTCGAAAGAGAGTTTCAGGTTTCTTCTATAATGCAGGGTTCGCGACATATTTGAAAAAATGTCATTTCAAATCGCTATTATTTGTACAAATTTTAATGTTTACCAAAGTTTGCCGAAATTTTGAAGTTCGGCAAGACGTGAAAGACACTTTATACAGGGTGCATGCACAATTAAATTGCATCGATTTTGCGAAAGTTCTATAGTGATCCGCAGGAGCACAATAGAAAAGCAATGCGTCCCTATAAGACAAAGCAAAAAATAAAAAATACAAATACAAAGCTGTAGATCGCGAAGTGCATAGTACAGCCACGATTTTTCGACATCAATCTAGTTGCCTTAACCCCTGCTTTCTTTGGAGCTGGTTCGCCGGAACACTAATGTTTTTAATAAAAAAAATTACATATAACCTAGCTATGTCTATTGTAGAGTAAGAGAAAAAATTATATATTACATTAGCAGCCCACCCCATACAAACTGCTTACTAAATTTTAAAAGAATGTGTGGATGGATCTGGTTATAACTAAGCTTCAGAAAAAATAGTTTTGATATGTTAAGGTGCATTGAAGTAGTAGAAGAAATTTTTATAGTATGGGTTCTTATACCAATTTAGCCTTGGGATTTAACCGTTTAAACACAGTATAAGATTTAACAAAGTCTGGTCACTGTTTGGAAGAGTATAGAATAAATCTGTAAAAGGGGCATATTTGGTCTGTTCTACTTTCATTTATAAATTTCTGTCATTTCTATTCCACATCATGCATTGTTTTTAATTTCCATTATTCCAGTACAAGAAATGGAGGTATATTAACTTGATCAGATCGAAACTGAACTATTAAAAACCATTTCTATATCCTACAATAGTCCAGTTCCAACATAAACCTTGAAAAGGTAAAAAATCATAATAACGAAAATTGTTTTGTTTGATCTTGATTTCACTGATCTTTGCGCAGATTAGAGATTCTTGGCCTGAATTTGATGGAACCTTGATGGAATGTATTTTTAAAAGAACTTGATAGCGGTGCTTCTAATAATTAATTAAGTGCCCTGATAATAACCTTTATATACTTATTGGCTATAGAACACAAACAATAAGTCCAAGCAAGGATTTTTCAGCAATACGCCGATGAGAAGAAAGTTCAAATGTTACCTACACCCACACTACAGCAGGCGCATTGTGCTTCCTCTAACCAATAGAATTTTTTTTGGAAATACAAAACTCATCATCTTCAACTGCAGCTGAGTCTGAAATGATTCAAGAAGCATCTAGGAAAAATTACCTCGTTGGACGCGAAAATCGCACCATGGAATACGAAACGAACGAAAAGTTTCAGATTAAGTCAGAAAAAATGTCTCACGTTAAAAAATACCAAAATCACAACTATATGACGTCCGAAAATTTCAATAGTATTATTGAAATTCCGGATGGACTTTTAAACCACCCAGTGGGTTTAAGAATCTTGTTTTCCATTGCAAATGTTGAATTGTTGTTAATAAAGATTAGTATTTCAATAATAAATTGTAACTGTAGGTAAGCCAAATTTTTCGTAGCAATATTTAATTAATTAAATTATCATATTATTAATAAACGGTTTTATTCAGTTCAGTCAGAAAATCATATTACCAAACACTATTCGTGCTTATAATTTTTGATGTCGAGTATTTAATGACCTTCGTTATTTATTTGAACAAATCTCTTGATTCTTTCCAAATTTTTCCGGAAAAATTAGAGGCACCTATATTTTTCACGCTGCCACGATTAATGGTTGTAAATTAAGAAAAAATAAATAAATATATAATATTATAATGGGTTTGAATCGGTTCAAATGAGTTTCAGGGTACCGATTTTATTGCGGAGGACGGTGCTGCACCTTACAACTTCCCAGGTTCGAGAATCGACTCTTGGGGAATTCCGAACTACCCCCAAAATGTCCCCGATCGCGAAAGATGGGACTTGGTCGCGAGTCAAGCTGCAAAAAATCCACATTCCAATGGAGACCTACTTTACAGTACGTACCGTTTCGCTAAAAATATTCCTTCTTCGCATTTTAATTGCATTAGTCTCTCTAATTCCGTGCGAACGCGAATTTTTATTGGGACTAATATCGTAGCAATCTTTTTATAGTATTTATTGGTCGACGCTTTTAAACTCAATTTTGATTTCGCCTTTCGATAAGTCTACCTCGATCAGCCTCAGAAAATGGAGGCGCTCTCTGTTTATGAGATTTACATTGTGTACAGATTTCAAATTTGCAAATTGTTAACCAAAATTTAGTGATAATTAATCGTTTCTCTTTATTTTTGGTATTTTCAATATATTTTAAAAAATATATATAAAATAATTTATCAGCATTTGGAGGCGAAGGACGCAAATAAGAAGCAATAATAGGCAATATCTCTTATAAAATTGGAGGAGCGATACGATTGAGATTCGTCGTTTTTCTACTTTTCTATTTCTTCTCTTCTTTCTTTCAAGTAAGCAGTGTTGACATCTTTACTACACAAAATTTGCTTTCATTCCTTTAGATTTGGAAAGAGGAAATTGAGGGTAAATCTAAAGAATATTCTGGATGGGATTGCAGTATTGCAGATTTTTCTTATTGACAGTCCCTTAATATAAAGACAATTTCTTTTTGCCAAATAAGTTCATTTATGCACCAAATCAATATCGCGTCGGCCAATGAAGCACCTTGACTTTCTTTGGTGTATGGTATCATCTGTAGAAACACACTACCTCTAGTCTCTAGTGTGTTGTGATAGATCACAACACTTATTTCATTTGATAGTAAATGGTTTCCAAGATGCCTACGTCTATGCCTACTATCGAAAATTTCCTCAATGGTGACCTCTTTGAACCGACCTGAACGTTCACGTGCTAACTCAACGCAATCCAGTTAACTAGTTCTTGATCATTAAAGTTGATTGATCATGGTAAAATTTATAGTTATCTGCGCGTTTTTTCTTAGATAACTCTTTGGTTCATTGATTTTTAGAGTTTAATTCTTGAAAACGAATTTAGATCTGCTTATTTCTGAAGACGCTTTTCCTTTGGAAATTGGAATTAGATTATTAATAATGAATACAAGAACACACAGGGCGTGAAGCTTAAAAAAGTAAATTATATTTATTCTGAGAGCAGGAATACATTCTATATAGGCTGTGTTTTTCAAGTTATCGAATTGAAAACATTTAGGGGACTACTTTTTCAAAAACGCACTCTATCTCATATACGAGAGCTGTTTACACTACTACGGCAATTGTATTTTCGTAATAGATAAGTGAGATACCATGCAATCATCACAATTCTTTTGATCACTTTCACTTTGTAGATGATTTTAATAAACGCGGCCGTTTTGGCTTTTTCGCCATGCGAGGCAAGAAAGTGGCGGACAATCCAACATTTCAAGACTTCAAGAGAACGCGCATGGGATTTTTCGCAACAAGAGGTACGTTTAAGTTTAATTCTATTCTAGCCTTTCTAGTGTTTAGGTTAGTTAGTTAGTTAGTTAATATTCCTTGTTTAATGGTGCACGATCTAATTGTTTATATCAATGCTTATAATCGCCATTTTTTTGCGTGAGGAGTGTGTAACGTCGGCAATAAAAACAATTGATTTTCTTTAAAACCAAGTCTCTCGCTCACATTAAATTAGCCAGTAGCGTACGTTGTATAGGGTGGGCCGTTTATCTTGGGACACTCCCTTTTCTCAGAAACTATACATGATGGAGGCAAAAGTTAAATACAAAAGTTAATTGAAGTATTACTAACCTTTAATTTATTTTAATTTTGTATATACAGGGTTGTATAGAACCTCTATACACCTTCATTTGTGGACTGTATCTTGTTCTCGTACCGTCAAACGCACTTTCCTGTGTGGCGGTCAGTTCGGTATAGAGTTGTATCAATCGCGATTGATTCGGTCACTTGGATTCAATCACTTCATAGGATCGAACGACCGAATCAACGATTCGATCAACTTGTTCACTCTCGCTGCCGTCCTGACCCGTCTGAAGTGACCGAATACAGGATGAGCGATCGACCGACCGTACCAAAACAAATCGAATTCGCCTTGCGGAATACGATTGATTTGAATGGTTTAAGATTTAAATGCATGGCTGAGACAGTCCACGGAAAAGGAATGGGAGTATTGTTATAATTATTCTATAGTATTGAGTTGCGACATCGATTGGTAAATTTGCTTATGTGCTGAATTGAATATTGAATGAAATGAAATGAAATTAATGTATTACTGGTACAACCCAATACGTAGCACTTATTTTGATAAACTCATGATGCAATAAAAACCAGAACACAGCTAAATATTATACTAACTAAAACAGCAAACAGAACATATAGACACAACAATAATTCAAATTCAAATGAATCTGAATCGGTCGTTCGGACTGTTCGGATTCAGTGACTATTGCCGCTTATGTTGTTAACAAAAATTATTGAAATGAACGATTGATTGAAACGATTCGGTCCTTTTCGAAATCGGTCACTGATTGGTTCGGTCCTCTTAAAATGAACGATTGACACAACACTAGTTCGGTACTGGCGCGCTGGGCAGCATTCCGTCAGTTGCACAAACGGTTGGCACGCACTTGGACCGTGATAGATACATGACAGTTACGTGACTGGCGTGTTCACACATAGCAAGGAAAACTAATAAATTGTCAACATAATTTATCGTGGGCGAATATCAACTTTCTTATTTTAAATGGAACATCCAGTATATTACTTCATTTTTGAATTGATACAAAATTCTAAACATATTGTGTGTATAATGTCCTATACCTAAGTTTAACCGTTTTTGACATTTTTAATTTTTTGTGAGAAAATTTACGTTTGCAACACTTAAAATATCTAAATATATAAAATATCTGCTTCTATTTCCGAAGCGTTTGTTGTTTCACTCGAGTAAGTTTTGTTGTAGACTTGGAATAACGGATTTCATAAGACATTTCGATATACAGGGTGAGTGAAAAGTAAGATTAAAAATGAAATGATAGAAACTGCCAAAAAACTTTTTTTTAAATTGGAAACTACGTGTTTTTATAATAAATTAAGGCAATTGTATATGCCTAAGATTTTTACAAAGGACAATAATTTAACAGTTGTTCAATATGGGCAATGCAGGTAGTATTTAGAAACCCTTTATTCTAAATACATAATCGCATTTCTAACAGATTCAGTCTCATTTAAATATCCGATACCGTCTCTACTCCAACGTTTAAATTCCTCGGCATTTGACGGTTTGACTTGTAAACTAAATGTTTAAGCGTATCCCATAGAAAATTATTTAGCGGAGCTAAGTCGGGGATTCTTGGATGCCAGGTGTAAGTATTATTCTCCACAATCCATTCTCTATAGTGTGCATTTAAAGAGGTGCAATTTCTTGACTTATGTGATAAGAAGGCACTTCATTTTCAACAAAAAGATGAATAATTTTTAAAATCGTTGGGAATTTTAATTCTGATCAAAAAATACTGGACATATTATTCTGAACCTCCAAATGGCACACCATACTTTGACAGAAGTTCTACCTGATCTTGTAACTTCCATAAGTTTTTTAATATTCATATTGGTCCAGTAATGGGTATTTTCCCAATTAAAAATTTTAGTCATCTGTCTAAATAATATTAACAAATATATTTTCTGAAAAGTGTCTCTCCATAAGATTGTTGCAAAAATCTAACCTGATGTTGTAATCCGGTTGCTCTAATTTCTGCACTGTACAGAATTTATAGGACTTCCAGTTGTTTATTTGATGGCACCTCCGAAACGTTCTTATTTTGACATCCCGATCTAAAGACGCATTCCGGATTGAATCTTCAGGGGTCTCTGCAAAATGCAACAAAATATTAAGTTGCTCCTCATCATTCAAAATATGACGTCTATCTTTTTCTTCCTTCAAGGTTCCATATATTCTAAAGTGTTGGCAAATCCTATTTTTCTGGGCGCCTCCTTAAAATCCAGGGTCCGGTTTTTATTGTTCGATATATAACTTTCTAACATTTCTTTTCCTCTGTGTCAAATATGATACGCAAGCAAGCGAAAAAATTGAAATTACCACTTGTTTTGTTTAAACGCTGTCATAGCCACCTTACGCGAACTGTACTTATATGGCAACAACATATTATTTGTGAAAAGTATAAGTGTTAGAGCCAGTAAATATTTATAGGGAACAATTTTATGGTATTTTTTAGAATAAGAGGAATTTCAGTTTAAGATGCACATGTTTTTTCTCAATCCTATTCAAAAGTCAACGTTTATGATTTTTACAGATGGTAACGATCGGTCTTGCGAACACTTGTCTATCAATTTATGACCGAAGACAATGGTTCCTCCTAGGGCATGGTTCAAGTGGCTTTTGAAGTAGGTATTGAGTTACAGATGTGTTTTACTTTTTAGAAAACTGAATTTTGGGACTTTAGTATCGTTAAGGATTTGGCAGGCATCGAAAGCCATTTTTTTCCGACGGGGTCTTTTTTACGAATTCGATGCTTTGCCTGTAGAATTTATAACTTATCACTAATTATCTCTCTTTGTTATTGTACATACTTTTTTACGTTATTTGTTTTTTTAGTAATTTGGTGAGTTTACTGAATTAAAGGGTTGTGTGTAAAAATACTGCCTTTTATTTCAACGAATCGACGTGTTGCTGAAACGGATAGTTTTGGTGACGCGACAATAAGTATTAAGCATATACAACCTTATATAACATTGCCTTAATTTTTAATGTTAAATATGACAAGATTTTAAAAATAGGTAGTTTCCATTAAAAAAAAAGTTTTTTTGTTTTTTTTATTTCATTTTAAATCTTATTTTTCGTGTACCCTGTATTAATATGTATCGAAATTCGAATGAAGAAATTGGCAGATATTTTATGTCTTGTAAACGTCATTTTTCCCATAAAAAATTAAAAATGACAAAAACGATTAACTTAGGTATAGGATTATTGGTATTGGTATTGGTATTAAAGGGGGGCGCCCTCGCGGGCGTCCAAGCACTTAGGCCACCAGATGGGCCCGTTGTGCTACCAGGACGCTCTAGAGGGTGTCCAGAATGCCGCCCCTCCTATAGAAGGTCAGCAACTCCTTTAGCCCAATACCGTGCAGTCCGGATCGATCAGGGCCGTTCCGAAGACTCCCAATCTTGCCCATGTCAAGGCAGGGCACTCGGTGAGCAGATGATACGGGGTCTCCTCCCCTTCCATGCACCACCTACACGCCGGGTCGTCTCCAATGCCTAGCAAGCAAAGATGCCTCCTAAGCCTGCAATGTCCGGTGGAGGCCCCTGTTAGTGCTCTACACTCCCTTCTGGTCAGTCTAAGCAGCTCCCTGGTCCGAGGAAGGGCGAGCACATCCATCATAAGCCTCGCCTGGCTCATTCCCGGAGCAACTCTCCAGCCCCCCCGCGGCCCGGTCTCTCCCCCAGGCTTCGAGAGCTCCCCGCCTCACACACGGGGCGATCCCCAAGCGGGGCTCTGGCCCTATATGCCTATGCGAGGAGCCCTCTCTGGCTAAGGCGTCCGCTGCCTCATTGCCCCAGATACCGGTGTGACCCGGGACCCAGACCAACGTGACCTTTCTCTCCTCAGCCACCCTCCTCAGTACCACTTTGCACTCCTTTATCAACAAGGAGCGCGTACGCACTGACTTCTGCGCCATGAGTGCAGCCCTACTATCCGAGCAGAAGAAGACTCTCCTGCTTCCGTGGTTGAGCCGAAGCACCCCTCTGGCCGCCATCAATAAAGCGAAAATTTCCGCCTGAAACACAGTGTAGTACTGACCCAGAGGGACCGACAAGCTCGATCCCGTTGTCTCGCAGTACGCTCCAGCTCAGGCCAGATCTCCCATTCTGGACCCGTCCGTGTACCAGACAAGTCCATCCCAGGAGCCGGCTCTGCCCTCCCTCTCCAATCTTCCCTTGATGGAAAGAGAAAGGTCAATTTGTCAAAGAAGGTCATCTTGGGGGTCATGACGTCACTCGGCATGCCCATGACCCCGCGATCCCCGCGACAGCCCTCTAAAATGTCGTACGGACCCCGATTGAAAGTTCCCTCCCTCCAGAGCCCGCAGCTCGCCAGCCTCAAAGCTGTCCTGGCCGCCTCCATCTGCACCCGATCCGCCAGAGAGGGCAACCCCACCGGAGCCTCTAGGGCCCTCGTGGTCGCCGTTCTCATGGCGCCCGTTATGCAGAGGCAAGCCAATCTCTGCAGTTTGTCAAGAACTGGCCTTGCTCCCGCTCTTTTGGTCTCCGGCCACCATGCCACTGCCCCATGCGTGAGCATAGGCACCACCATGGTAGCGTAGATCCACTGCATGATCTTCGGCCCCAGGCCCCAAGTGCCCCCTACCGCTCTCCGGCAGGCCCACAGATCTCCAAAGGTCGACCTGGTCCTTGATCTTATATGTTCCTGTAAGGTCAACTTAGAGTCCAACCATACGCCCAAGTACTTGACACTTCCGCTTGCAGAAAGAGGCACCCCATCCATGGAAATGTTGAGGTTGCACTCCATCTTCCTTTTTCTAGTGGAGATAACCATCTCCAGGTATAGGATATTATACACAAAATATGTCTAGAATTTTGTAAAGAATTCAAAAATGGAGTAATATACCAGGTGTTTCATTTAAAATAAAAAGTTGATACTTGCCCACGAAAAATGAAACACCTTGTTAAAATAAAATGAAGGTTTGAAATACCCCAATCAACTTTTGTATGTAACTTTTGGCTTCGTCCGTTATAGTTTCTGAGATAAACATCCCACCCTATATATACTAATTGTTATTTGGTTTCAGGCAAAAAAAATATCGAAGACTTCACGTCGAACAATGATAAGCGTCGTCCGCCCATGGGTTTTTTTGCTGTGCGGGGCAAGAAAGTCGTACTTGGTAAAAAGTACCCTTATGAATGCTATCACGACATTGGTCGCTCAGATAACTCGTATTACGATGGAACTGTCGACCTCAATCAGCTTATGACGTTGCTCAGTGGCCCAAATGACATTGATGATTTTGGCAGTCAATAGAGCGTAACACAATTTCGTTTTGTTGTAAGTATTTCACACACGAGCAAAAATCGTATATATTTAAAATATTGTTAGTCCAATTAAAGTGCCTTATGTCAATAAAGTGTCTGTGGACCGGTGATTCTAACTCTCACAAAGATATTATGATATTGTATTATTATTATTATGTGATATATTAATATTAATTAATTTATTTGCACCATTGACTAAATAATTCAATAAATACTACCCTATAGGTAGTTATGTAACTCAAAAATGAGTTTAAAAGTTTAAAATTGTATAAAATGATTTAATTCTGGAATACCAAGGTCATGATTTTATTATAATGAAAAAAACACTAAATATTAAAATAAAACTAACACACTACAAACTTGGCTCGAATTTTGGTGAGGTTGTAGAATATGCGTTAGTGTTCAAAATTTTTCTCAATGCCTATTGATAACATCAGATTACAAAATCATAAACAATTATTGGAAAACGAAAACCTCTGGAAAAATTTAATGCTTTATTGAAGAGTGAACCAAAAACTTGTAGTCTTTAACTTTTTGCAATTGTATCAATAAATAATTTTTAAAAAACGGTGAAAACATGGTTGCCGTTTTGGTTTATTGATTGTTGTTCTACATTTTAGGTCGAGATATTCGCAAAACACGCTTCTACTTGGAGAAACGGGATTAATAAAAAATGTTGGATCGATGGGTCCCTGTATATTTTCGCTGTGTCTATAACTTACCACTATGTATCCATGTTTCCCTTACCATATAATAAAATAGTGAATACAGTAGTCAGAAATATAAGTGTGCTATTACAATTTCAGGTATAATTTTGTACAAAAGTGCTTGAACTGAAGCATTCTATAAATAATTATTGTTTGTTATTTCAAAATAAATATTCACTCCCAGCATTATATTATTATAAAAATACTACTAAAATATGTTTGAGACGTAATACATCAGAAAATAATACATTTCTAATACATGAATTTGGTAAAATAAAATACATTTATATAATTAATTGACCGAATATAAGGTTCAAGTTTAAAATCACAAGCAATTTTATACGTTAATATTTATTTATTATTTATTATTATTTTAGGTGAATTGAGACACCAAATAATTATCCACTCCTACGGAAAGTGTTTCATTATGAAAACGTCTTCTCTACACTGCCAAAGTCAAATATATATATATATATATATATATATATATATATATATATATATATATATATATATATATATATATATATATATATATATATATATATATATATATAATTATATATAAAATATATTTTTAAACTATGATAATTTTCCGACGAGAACGTAGATGCTACAAAAGCGACCGTCAAAATCCATGAAGAAAATTAATTTTAATATTCTCTGTTGGTCAGTCAAATACAAGAAACAATTTTAAATTAATGACCATTATTGTAAAAGAACAAAATAGAAAATAGTTTTGGTTAGTTATCTAATAACCTTTTTATAGGAAATAAAAGTACCAATGTGCTAAGATTAACGGACTTCGGGCCAAATTTAGAGTAATACGCCTTTTAATATTTTATATGGTTGTAATTTCAAGAAACTCGTGTGCTATTGTTTCTACAATATTTTACTTATACTATATCAAATCAAAAAGTGTAAGACAAGTTTAATAAGTACTATTTATTTGTTTAGCAGGATAGAATTATTCTGGAGGGTATCATCTGATTTTCCCAACTATTTTTTCCCACTCTTTGATTTGCATTAGAGCATCTCTTGTCGCTCTACCCATTATACCCTCCGCGGAATTTTCGGGCTCATTCTTCAAAATAATCTGGGCTTCAGATAAATAGTCAACTACCTTCTTCAGCACCGCTTTAATCTGACCCTTGGACATTGAATTGGATTCAATTTCCCTGTTGAGCAGTATCATCACTGGTGCGTGTATTTCGTAGAGAGTTACCCCTAAAACTCCCTAAATTAGATAGCAGTCAATGTCTTGTTCTCAGAACTATATTCTGCGACAAGCGAAACTAGTGAAAATTAAGACGTCATCCAATAATTAGACTTTACCTCGGATTCGTGTGTATCCAGGCTCTAAAACATTAAATATCTTCAACACCTCTTCGCAGAGGTCCCTTTTCCTCTCCAGCTGTTCCTCACTTAATTCGTGGATCAGGTAACCTTTGATGCGGCCGTATAACTGACTCAGAGATATCTTAATGCCCAGGCAAAGGTAATGGTTGGGATGGAGAACATTCCGATACTTTTGCAGAAACAGCTCCATGGATCGAATGTCGTTGGTGTCTATTTCTTCCACTTCGTGAGAAACTCTACAGAGAACTCTATTAATTAATAATCTAAGCAACCACTGTTATATATACCTGTTTAGTAACAATTTAACAGATTCAAATGGAACTCTGTAACCGGGGCACGTGCTTCTAGGGCTCGTGCAACTCGAAGCAGACTCAAAGTTTAGCGGATTATCGCATAAGACGAGACCGTTGCTACACTTAGGGCAGATTAGTGCCCCCAAGTAGGTTCTTAACTCTGTTGGATCGCGACACCTCTTGCAACAGCATTCGAAGAATTTGTTTTCCAAAATATGTTCCCTACGTCTTTGCGAGCTCTGATAAAATGGGATTTCAAAAATGAATTGACTCGATTTCCATCAGGGTTAGTTACCTGCAGGGTGTAACTGTAACTTAATGTGATCGGCTCACCTTCGGCAATTGCTGTTGATGCTCTGATTGTTAGGTTGAAGGTACCTTCTTGATCAGTATGATTAGTATTTGGAACACAGTCGTGCGACAATAGAAACGCCGTAGGATAGAGACCGCGTAGCTGAACGTCCTGATGACCAATTTCGAAGGCGTTCACCTAGAAAACGGGGTAAACAAAGCTAAAAGCATCAAAGCAATGACGTACCTCCAATATTCCGCATATGGTGTGAATTTCGTCTTCAGTAAATTCCGTTAGTTTCCATGTTCGAATTATTTTGTCTACCACTCTCGTCTGGTTAAGGGCCCATAAGTCTGGAATTCCTCTTCGAATTTCGTTATGGCTCTCCATGTCCATCAATGCCGCAAACGAACTTGGATCCGTTGTTTTAAGAATAAGACACCTCAAAGGAACTGGAATTGGATATTGCTTAATGAAAACCACCATGTATATGAAGCTATTTCTCACACTACCCAAAATATTCGACAATAAGTGTTAATCGCAAAGATTGTGAGTAATTGCTATTAGTTTTCTTATTAATATATTATTATTATTAAAATTGGTTTTAAATTGGGAGACTATTTTATTAATTACTTTTTTTTACTTATTGCACATATACTTTCTATACAGCTTTTTCCTCAAAGTGTTCCATAAATAAGTTGGCTATAACCGGGCTTAATGGGCTTCCCATTGCCACTCCGTCCACCTGTTCGTAGAAGTTTCCCTTCCACACGAAATAGCTACCGGTCAGACAACACAATCTTTAAGCCTACACAGAGGATCCAGCAGACCATCAGGCCAGCGAAGGACAAGAGGGACTCACTTTCAGCTGCAGGAGTCTACCGCATTCCGTGTTCATGCGGAAAGGTCTACATCGGAACTACCAAGAGATCAATGGGAACGAGACTTAAGGAGCATAAAGCAAGCTGCAGGCTAGGACAGACAGAGAAGTCTGCAGTAGCTGAACACGCACTGGGCAGCGGGGAACGCAGGATACACTTTGAGAGCTGTAAGTTACTAGCATCGGTCAACGGCTATCACAACAGACTAGTCAGGGAAGCCATTGAGATACAAAAACACCCACACAATTTCAACAGAAAGAAGGAGACCCTTAGACTCAACTAAATCTGGAACCCGATCGTTAGGAACGCCCGAGCAGTACCGATCGATGTCCCGAGACCAACCGAAGCGGAACAAGCCCCGCCCACCACCAATCGGTATAAATACAACCTGCGCAGGAGAAATCGTCAGTCTACGTCCAACATCGGAGATGGAAGGACCTCTGAAGAAGCTCGCCACTCGTGCTAGCGAAACGTTAGGAAGTAATTCCAACCGACGACGGCCTTTAAACCCGAATCAAGATAATAGCTTATGTTTTTTTGACTTGAAACAACTTTCTTGTTCTCTATTTTATCTTACGTTTTTGTCACATCTTATCTAAGGCCTTGGAAAATTCACCTCCATCTTACATCCCACTACAATCATTTCATTTTAAATAATTAAAAGTTTAGATATTACATTTGGAAGAAGTTTTTTCGTTATTCGTTTCAAGGGATAGTCTGCACAACTACATAATTCGATCAGAAATATGGTTAAGTTAAGACAGTTTGGCCTATTTGGATTGGAGCAGCATTGTGATATGCACAATTCAAATTTGGCTTTATCATATAGGCAAACTTTCCATAATTTTTATACGTAATTAATTACATAATTTTAATTAATTAATTACATAATTTTAATTTTTCACAGAAACTTCCACAGGCTACTGTAATATTTTTTATAAAACTTCTGAATTCCTCTTGTGTCGGATTGACTGCTCAGTTTCAGTCAATCTCTGAAGAAGCCAACAGGATGATTGGCGAAACGTTAGCTAGTTGGACTCAACAAAAACCGACGCAGGAGGAATCCACAAGTTACATAATTTTAGTTATTAAAACTAAATAAAAAATCACTACTCTCACAAGAGGAAAAAATCTGACAATTTAAAATTATATTTCATTGCTCACGTTGTTTAAAATAGCTAACCAAGGTTTCAAGTTGAATCAGCGAATGTTAGAGTATCAATGCACAACGTTATTGTTTTAAAAACTGCTTTGTAAATTTTCTTTAATTGAAGTTTCAATTTTTTGACCTGCTTTATTAATAAGCAAAATTGCAGTAAGGAAAATAAGTTGCTTTTATTGTTGTTCAGAGAATTTCATATTTTTTTGGAGAACAAAGAAAAAACTCATAAGTTCCATTAACCTTGAAAAGATGTGAATTCTATTACGCAGACTAGAGGTATATCAAGGAACACAGAATCCGTTTCCAAAATTGTTGATTATTAATTATCAGTATTCAATTGTCAAATGTGAAAAATATGCATTAAGATTATATTACAACAAACTGCATGGGAAACACGAATTTTATAACGGTACCTCCAATTCTAATAGGTTACACTGTATATATCGATCAAACATTTTGCATTTGCATATATCCTGTACCTATGGCGTGAAAACTGGTACTCAAATTCTCAGCGTTATCATAATCAAGATAGGAGACGGACCTGCATTCTTCTAGTAGAGTACATTCGATTTTGGTGTGGCCGTGTTGTTTTCCAAGTCCTTCGCAATTTGTTGAACATAAGGGCCACCCACATCCCGGACACCTGTGCGAATGTGCGTCGTATAAAAATGGGATTAATTGGAACGCTCAATACAAAGTGAATACGTAGGGTATTTATTACCTATGGAATTTGCTGCCTAATGTTTTGTAACATGCCAGGCACTGAATTTTGCTGCTGTTGCAAGGTCCGACAACTAAAGGTTCTTCTGATATGATCACTTCATTGGGCTTGATGTCTTGTTTTGCAACCAGGTACCTAAAATCAACAAATCTCAGCTGTAAGCTCACGTAGCAAGATTACTTTTGGAAAAGATGCATATATTTAATTAAACGCTTTAAGTGAGTGAGTGAATAAACATGTTCCTTCTCAATATTTTTTGCAATTTACTTAAAGAGTGAATATATTATGCAAAGGCCTCTAGCTAGGTAGCTATATAGTTAGCAATAGTAGTACTAGTTTTAGCATGTACAACAGAATAATGCTATAGTTTAAAAACAAATTTTCTTCTTAGTTTCAGTTTACTATTTCAAGGCAACGGGCGTACAAGAACAGTTTGAAGGGTACAGTCTTATTGCAACTAGCTAAACTAACCAAAAATATTTAGGGTATGCGGAATATTATTAACTTGTCCAAACAATTTAAAGTGTCAACATCAGGTTCTTATTTTGCTGTTGAGAAATAATTCGAGTTATCAAAAGAACGTAAAACTATATTTTCTAGTACAAAATGAAGGTCCCCATTAGCAAAACAAGTTTAGTTTTTGAACAAAGCATCATTCCTATGCGCTAATTAAGCCGTAGCTACTTTTGGTGAAATTAAAGGATGACGACAGGTCACTATAGGATTATTGCATATTACCAAAAAATTCGACAATCAAAGGCAAAACGTACACGGTAGTTGCAAAGCACTCAATAAAGATAGTATAAATAAACACGCCGTTATACTCAATGATATTAATTCTGAATCTTCTTGGACGCGTTCCAAACAAAAAATGCACCATTACATTAATAATAAATTTTATATATCCCTTGCATCCACTGTCTCCTATTTTCGAATTTATTAGCGACTTTGAGCAAGGATAGCACACGACACAATCATATGGCTTTTTCATGCGCATCATAAAAACTGGTTTACGAGGGTCGTTCAAATATTATTCCAAATGATAAACGAGCCGTTGATATAACAGACGTTCCTAATGTCAGATACATTTTTGTTTGTCTACTAGTCTACATTTAAGTCGGAATTGTGAAATATCTCTAGTAAGCCTCCTAGCTACAGGGTGATATGAATGAATCCAAATGGAACTTCATATTAGGTGGTGAAGAACTGCGAATAATTTGCGAAATAAGTTGTTTTCAATGAAAATATTGATTTGATCCACCAGGGATTAGGTCTTAAAAAGCTAGACGATGGCTATGGCAGATGTTGATTAATTCGGACATCACTACATGGGATCGTTAAGGCTTTCTGGTAGGATTCGTTTTTGTGGATGGAAATGCCACCATCATTGAAGGTTTCCTGTCGTGGTACTATGTTCTGACATTAATTTTCGGAGGGCTGGGCCTCTGTGCGGCTTAGGAACCTCAATAAATTAACAACTAATGGTGGCAAAAAGTGCACCAGGAGATTAGGTAAACCAATAAACAATCCATGAAGTTCTAAGGCAGAAAGAAATGTACTTAACCAAATCATTATTAATAAAAGATTTCACCACCTCATGGACATGGACATATTGAAATGGAAAATGGCCTTACAAGGTAGCTTACAAGAAGGGTTCTAGTGTCAGCAATTAGTACAGAAGTGCAAGAAAAATGTAACCTAAGATTGGGTAGCATTCCCCAAGCATTAAACGAATATGATATCGAAAACACATGGAGACTATTACGCAGTAGAATTAGTCAGGCTATGCTGAAAAGTAACAGAACTAAACATAAAACACGGATGATCATATCAAAATAAAGATAACACGAGATACAAAGTGATGAATACAAGCGAAGAAAAATTGGTTAAGAGAGCAAAGGCACGAAATATAGCACTTGAGAGCCAAGCACGACTATGTACAAGAAAATCAGACAACTGGTTGATATAAAGAACAGCTACAGGTATGAAAAAAATATATTTATTATTAGACGGCGGGCTGGATATTACCAAGGCAGAACTCATACACGCTATATCAAATGTAAGGAAAGAAAAGGCACCAGAGCTAGATGGATTACAGATAGAGATTTTAAAAGCGTTAGATCGCTTCTATTAAGTTTATTCAATTGCATATGCAAGACAGGAGTAATCTCTAAAAATTGGCTTAAGGCATCCTTCGTTGCTGTGTCGAAGAAAACTAACTGCAGGTATTACAATAGAATGTATGATGTATAATAATATGACATATGTAAAAAAAATCTTTAGAGAAGCATATGAAGACAGAACAGTGTATGATACGCTGACGACACGATCTTACTAGCAATACAAAGATATTTAATTTAATTTAATTTTAATTTATTATAAAGGAAACAAAATGATAGTCGTCAGCAAAAATACGAATTTTAAATATAGCTATTAGTTTCACAGGGTACAGGGGGGAAAAGGTAAATAGTGGAGAGAGTACAAAAATACAAATATCTGGGCTTTGAAAAAAACTCAAAAAATCAAAAGCAGAATATAGCAAACAAGATCATCATGTAAGAAAATGCAAAATGTGTTAACCAACAGATCTTAAGAATACGCTTATTATGTTGCCTATGCCTGCAACATATTCTTCTGGTATGGAAGAATGGACCCGCGGCTTTCAAAAATATCGGCTTACCGAAAAATGTAGAAGGTGGGTGGGTCGGTGGGCAGATGAAGCGGGTCTGAGGGGTAGTTAATAATATAAAAAGAAGACAGTTTTAGTTATTTTCCACATAATGGAAAGACACAACATTTGAAGAGGGAGAAGTTAGACCAACTGTTTACTCATAATGTAATTCTTTTTTGAAAATGCAAGTGCGTAGGTCATTTACCAACAGGCCGATTCATGTTTAGAGGAATTTAATAAAATAACTCAATAATAATGGCATAATGCCGCAATTTTTTAGTCGAGAGATGTAAACGCTTTTCTTTTCAATGTCAGGGAAAATAACGTTTTGACGGGCCCTGCTACGGCTTCTTCATGACCATCAAAAATAGGGACTTACTTAATTGAGTTTTTCGCAAGCGCCTGAAAATAAACCAAATTTAAAATTCTTTATAAACAGTAAATTAATCACATAATTGTTATTTTTATGAGCCGGACCGATACATGGTTTTCGAATTTTCAACAAGTAAAAGTGTAAACAGTTTTAAAAATAAGACGCGGTTAATAAAACGGTTGAAGGTGGACAGTGTGTGTCGCATAAACACGGGTGTCATCGTTATAAATTATACGGAAAATAAGTGAACAGCCGCAGTTGATTAAGTCCAGCCTTTCGTGTGTTTTGCAACAATGGCGGCGGGTATGGCAGGCCGGAAGAGTTTTTGGTGCACTCGGTTAATTTTAGCGGATTGCAAAGTTGCAAAACTGTACAGCTTTCAACGCACCTGTCTGCGCGCCGTCGAGTGATGTCGTAAAAAATAGGACCCGAGACTGAATAACGCTGCCCGGTGGGCCAGATTTGCGTCAGAATATTGGAAAAATGCTTATTGGTGACTTAGAGATATATTCAAGGTCGTTGTTGTGAGATGGAAACGCAATAGTAGTAGAAAAACTTTCAAAGATCTGATGAACTTAAAATATTTGAGATAACTTTGTGCTTCTGGTTAATGTGCGTATCTATTGATCTCGAGAACATCTTAATCTTTGTTTTTTTTTCGGATATTTAAACCGTTTAAATTATAGACTATTTACAAATATCTTCCTTGAAGGAACATTCCATTAATAGGGTAAAAACAAAATTTTCGGAAGAAAATCTCCTTTTTTTTTGCTTTGTGAATAAGTCTAAGGTATTTGACCGCAGACGTATCTCGGATGCCATAAGGCGATTTTAAAAGACATTCAACTTAACAGAAAGAGACAGTTACGAATTAAAGCACTACATATAAATAAAGGAATAAGACATCAGTGCATCCATTCTCAATGTAATAATGGATAAAGTTATAGAAACGCTGACTAAATCATTTTCATGTAATGAGAGGTCAATCTATAACGGCTACATCACCTCTTCAATTAAGCAGCTATGCGATTTAATATCAGAGAATATCAACAAGACTAAATGGATGACAACATCAAAGACCCGATAAGCTGTAAATTAGCAATTGATACAGTGGGAAGAATATCCAGAGGAAGACTGCTGAGGAGGTAGAAAGATTGCTTTAATGGCATAAACAGGCCTATCATATGGGAAACCATATTGATATAAGAAGAAAAAGAAGAATTACAATAAGAGATGGTAGATTATGTCATAATTTCGTAATCAAAGGCTTCGTAATTTCATTCAAAATTCATTAATAATTGGAGCCTCTTTAACTGAAACAGGTAATTTTGGACACATGTTTATTAACCAAATTAACGTTACTTTCTAATATTCCAATTACCGTAAGAATTAGTGAAGTATTTTTGAAACCCTCTATATATCGAATAAAACTGGATTAGGTTTTGTTTAACTTTACATAGTAATACAGGAAATTTCAATTTCTGCAAACAATCTTGTGAATTGAAACATTTAAAAGAGAACAATTTTATCATAATCTCCCCGGTACATTTATCTTCCTTTTAACGCTGTTGTTTCGACAGTGCCAAAAGCCTAACGAACTATATGTGCAGTATTATATTCTAAATAATGGTAAGCGTTAGACAAAACCAAATAATTCGCTAATGGTCCGCTTTAACAATAACACTGCTGCAAGAATATACATCAAAGAGGAGTGTTTATTTTCACGGTAATTTGTATAATGGAATATAGATCCCTCGAAATTGTTGGCCGATATCATATTTATTTTCGGCTTATCGTAAACTTCGATCTTAAATGAGTCCCGGATTTTTTAAATTTCCCCAATATGTTGTACTTTCCCCAATTCCGCATCATGATTTTATAAGGTGAACCTGTTTAGTCTCTGTAAACATTGATCACACATCTAGTTTATCAGTCAGTTTGCCGATTCTCATCATAGCGCATAAAATTGTTTACGACGCTTATGGTTCCTGACATTGTTGCTCATAATTTTTGATAATATAATAAATTAAATAAAATAATAAATTTTTGTCCTTTCCCTAATCCAATCGCACTTACCTAGCAATAAATTTATTTCGTCTCATTTTGAAGAAGACTTTCTAACAACTTGACTATTGATGATACTCAATCTGAATATATAAAAATTATATGAAACGTCAAGAACGGTAAGAACATTATTATTATTATTATTATTATTCCACTTCTTGATAGAAACAAATATTGCCTTAGAACTATCAAAAATAAAATCTGTTCAAACTATGTGGCTACTGTGGCTCTATGTTTTTCAATTGTTCTAGAATGGTAAGTAAAATTGAAAAGCACTGACCGGTTCGTTTATCTTTATTTTTATCTTATCTTACCTTCCCATAACGTCAGACACTTTTAGTTCGTATTTTGGCTCTCCCGCGTTAATTTCTTCTTTAATTTCTCCCAGAAGATCGCTTGCGATCGATTGGGATCTGCTTCGACAGGATCTACTCTTCTGAAAAATCAAGAACACGGGCATTTCAAATCATTTTACTTACGCGCCATGATTTTTTGACTTAGAACTACGACGGGTAGTTAGCTTAGTTGCTTAAGTTGCTATTTTTGATAATTAAACATTTTTTTTACTTCCTAAGATGATGAAAGAAGAAAGTCGAGGAAGTACAAACACCTGAGGACCAGAGGATCCTCGCTATATTTATAAATATGTGTATTGTAGAATTCTCTAGAACAGACGTTCTAGAGATATAAAGAGCAGACTGGTCAGATGTTATGTATTCTCGATAATTCTCTGCAGAATGGAGTCATCGACTATGGCAGGATGGCTTCAAAAAACTACAGGCTTTCGAAGTGTGAGTATCTGTACGCATACTTAGAGTTTCTTGGATGGAAAGGGTAACAAATGCAGATATATTACAACGAATGGAAAAAGAAACAGGGATAGCGGAATCTTACAAATAATAAACTGACTTTTTATTTTATTTTTGTGTTTACCTGTACAATTTTTTCTTTACTATTTTTTTAGGTTTATAGATAGGTAGGTACATTTTTAAATAAAAATAAAAATAATAAAAAATGACAAAACTAGGTAGCATAAATGTCAAAATAGTTTGAGTAATGTTGGAACCTTTTTTTTGTCAAGTTTCGCGGAAATCGTCAAAGCAAAACATAAGAGCCGTATATTTCGAAAGCTGTAGCCTATCGACATCATTAACCTTTCCAAAATGATAAATATGATAAAATTACAAAAATAGGGCGCTTTCACATGAAAAAAAAAACGATTTAGACCTGCCAACGTAATTTTTGACATAACATTTAAACAAAAAAAATTGTTCTTTATTCACGAAAATACAAACATTCAACAATATAATATTTTCGAAGTATAAGTGAGTTCAAACAATTTTTTGTTTTCAACGTTTTTCTTAAATATTTTTTACAGGTTGCGCCACCCGGCAGACCGCAGACCATTGAATAAATAGATTAAAAGCGGCAAACAAAATTATAAACGCGGCAATTAAGAAATAATGAACGAATGAACGAAAACAAATAAAGGAAAAACAAATTTAAATATTTAACACTGCTTGCGAACCAGGTTTCGTTTGCTTTAAACAAGCCAATTAACGCACACTTTTTGTCGATTTTTAGCGTCGGTCTTTCAACTTTTCAATATTTATTGATGAAGATCTTTCGAATCGTTTTTAAAAATCACCAGCACTCACTTTTCTACGGTGTGATTTATTCATTCTGCAGCAGTTCCAAACAAATCCTCAGCTGGACGTGATGCGCTCTATCATCAATCGCCTTTGGATAAACTACTACACCGCCGACGTCTGTTTACACGCAGTTCCCGGAGAGAATGTTGGCAAAAGCCTTCCAAAATCCCGACCGTACATTTGGGATTTTGCAAATCTTCCCCACCGCTCCGGTTGCGTGGGAGAGGCAGTGGTGTAGCAGGAACTATTTCCGTTTTAATTAATTGTACACTTGTATCCTGCTAATCTAATAATATAACTCTTCGAAATAAAACTAAGTGTAATTTGTCAAGGTTTGCACAGCTCCACTTTGCTAAAAATTAACTTCAATTAATCATCGATTTCAGGTTGTATCCCTTAGTTATTGCAGTGATAGAAGAACTGAGATTACAAGTTGTTTCAGCAGTCACCGTCAATATCTTTAAAACTAGAATCGTAGAACTTCTGCGACACAAAAGAAATTAATGAAAATTATTGACAAGCTTCGCATTTCAAGATTTTCTGTCGGATTGGCTTATCGATCTTATTTTATTTATTTAAATCACTGTAGCTTCAAAATGATTTCAGCAAACTCAGGCTTGTTTGAAAGTGTTTTCAGCTCTAAAAGTTTTTAGAAGAATTTTTATGGGGGTTTTAAGGCAAGTTTTTAGAGCAATAGCTTTTAGAGCTATAGTTTTTGGATATATTTGTGAAGAAGATTTAGAGCTACACCATTTATAGTAATAGTAATTAAGAGCTACAGGTTTTAAAGGAGTTTTTACATTAACTTTTAAAATTTGAAGAACTGAAACTTTTTGAGGGGGTTTTTGAGCTAGAGCTTTTGAAGTTTAGGTTAGGTATTAGGTTTACTTAGAAAAAATATTTCTCTTGAAGTTAATTAATTGAAAAACACAGCTAAATTTCTACAAAAAATGCATGGTATTTTGACTGCCGAATTCAGGTGTGATCTGACTGATCCGATATGACTGGGACAAAATCCAGGTCCAAATTGTAACTGCATTTTTTGGAGTTTTTTATATTCCTATTTATATTTATATTGAAAAAATTGTTTTATTTACTTCCGTACGAATGAAGTTTTCACTTTCTATTTTTAACAAAATAATTGTTCTTACAATTTCTGACAGAAGGAAAGCCGGTGTTATAGTTAATTTAATCAATAAACTTCGTTTTAAAAACAACGAAACCCTTAAAAGTCAAATGAAAGTCATATTTACCATTTATTCTCAATCATACAATATGAAGATTAATTTTAGTGCGATATAGCTTGTTCAAGCTATACCTTAGTTCTTGAGATCCATTTCTTAAAGTAATGCAGAATCAAAATTGTAACTTTATTCAGTATAACTTTAAACGAATACAACTGCCAGGAATTGTGAATCGTCGGTTTCCTAGCAACTTATATTTGCGTCGTGGTTTGAACCTCAATTTTAATCAAAGACTATAAATAAAATTTGAAGTCTAATTGTCATAACAACGTTAAAGCGGTCGTCCAACCGTTAAAACATTAAATTAAATTAAATTTAGTTGTTGGATTCGAGAATGATATTGACGTGTATAGCAGTCGCACGTGAGTGATCCAAATATCAATATTATTTTCGCAGAAATAATAAAATAACAAAAAATCGTATTATGGTGTGGCTTTGTTTTAAGATTTTTACCATTTTACATTTACATTAAGATTGGACGAGAAAGAGCAATGGACTGTAAATTTTTATAAAATTGAAGCTAGAAATAACGCGGCGATTTAAATAATAATATATTGACGTAACGAGACAATTTCCTTTCTTGTTGATCTACCTTCACCTGGCTGTTGACTGGCACAATTTTGCAATACTTGACGGCACTCGAGAGTTTAATTCTGGCACGCGGAAAATGCTCTCACCTTGTTCTCTACCTGATTCGTACTAGTCCCGATCACAGCCGAATACGACACCGAAGGTATGGTCTGTTCATAGATATAAAAAAGTGATGGTCATTAAAGTTTCGGACTTTAAATTCAGGTACAATTGTGGTCCGTACTAGAAAATAATTTTATAACTACCTGTGTTTAATATTCTTTGGTTTGGTATACTACTTAGTTTAAGTTTATTAGTAATCATTCTTATTTCGTGTGTAATACAGCGTGTGTTGAATCGTGTGCGAATTATGCAAAATATGTGTGAGTATAGTGTATCTCAGGAGATGCTCCCGCCCAAATGTAGAAAACACTATTCTATTGAGACTAATGAAATTATAAACAATGTTTATTTGACTCTCATTGAACGTGATGCCAGCAAGCAAGCATCTTTAGAAGAAACAGCCACATTGACGAAAATTCCAACCGGTGTTAAATGTGGCAGAACTACCTTATGTGGCAGAACTACCTTACGAAAGTGTATTCAACACGTGGGTTTTAGATTTAAAAAGATTGACAAAAGGCAAGTTTTAATGGAGTCTTTTAGAATTCGAAAATGGCGACGGGAATATCTAGAAAAAATTAGAATTTACAGAGAACAACAAAGGCCAATTATTTACTTGGATGAAACCTAGTTCGACACTTATGATACCCGGGAAAAGGGTTGCGTTGACTCAACTGATAAGTGTAAAACAAACGCGCCATCAAAAAGAGGTAAAAGAATAGCTGTCTTACGTGTTGGCTCTAAAGAAGGTTAGATTCCAAATAGACATTCTCTGTCTGCGAAAAATATTAAAGATTCTTCTCTGGATTACCTTGCAGACACTACCGCTGATTTATTTGAAAGTTGGTTTAAAAACAAACTAGTTCCAAACATTCCTCCTAATAGCGTAATTGTAATGGACAATGCAAGTTATGACAGTAGACAGTTGACTAAAACCCCTTCCTCATGTGACACAAAAGCAACAATCGAAAACTACATGTATAATAACCACATTTATTTTCACGAAGATTATACCAAAAAGCAATTAATTGAGGTTCTACAAACCTTGAACCTACAAAAGGAATACGCCTGTGATAATTATGCAAAAAATCTAGGGCATATAGTTTTAAGGCTTCCACCTTACCACTGTATATTTAATCCAGTTGAACATGTTTGGCACCAACTGAAATCTGCCATTCGTCGTAACAATGTTTTTCCCCGTGTTAACTCCAATGTCCTCAAACTTATAGAAACCAAAGTTTTTAAAATCCCTCCACAAAGGTGGGCAAATTTTGTTAGACATATAGAGAAACAGAACAGTCGTATATCCATATTGCAAATTATATAGAACAAATAATTAGAACAGGCGATGATAGCGATAGTGATACTGATATATTATGTGAATAATTTTAAGTAATTTAAGTAGGTAATAAAAATCATTTGTAATTTTCTTTTAGATTTAAACATAAATACCTAAATAAATAAATAAATATTGTTTAGTATCTTTCCTAACAAAATCCCAAATAATTAAATTATAAGCAAAGCACGGATCTTTTCGGCCATATTTCATTCTTACAGCTTGCCCGGGTCTTTCCTTAATTCGTATCAGTTAGTCACTTTCTTATATCTATGAACAGACTTTACCTACGAGTTTTTTCTGGCCGTATACCCAGAGAGATTGTCACCAAAATACGCGGAGAATATATATTAATTAAATGAAAACCAATTTCAATTTGCTCGATATAAGAATTCTCCCGAATTATCAAAAACTGAAGATGAAAAATAAAACAAAAACAATTCTGATTGGACGGAACAAAGATAATGTCTAAAATATATATAGTATTGGTTAGCATTTTAATTTTCGGAAAATATTCTGAAAATGATTTTCAATAAATATTTACTGAAATATTCGATTAACTTCGGAATTTTGTTGTTTGTGAATGCCACAGTCAATTAAATTAGCGATATTCAGCAAGTGATAACAAACTTAAATTAACAAACGACACTAAAATGTTGTGTTTTTTTGTTCAATGCAGGCAATGTGCCGTTCTTAGGTTTGTCTTTTTCTTCTTCTTTCTTCTATAGTAGGCCTATGGCCTGTTCCTTCATCGGTCGCCTCTCAACCTGGATTGAGATCGTCGCTCCATCTTTTTCTCGGTCGTCCCACGCTCCGCCTTCGGTCTGGTGATTTGTCTCTAACGATTTTTACTAGTCTGCCATCTTGCATACGGTTAATATGGTCATTCCACTGTCTTTTTCTTTGGAGCACCCAGTCGTTCACGTTGTCCACGCCGCACGATTGCCTGATGTTTTCGTTTCTTTCTCTGTCCAGCAGTGTTTTTTCTGAGATATGGCGAAGAATCTTCATTTCCGTAGTCTCCAGAAGTCGTCTAGTTTTTGCGGTATCTTATCTTGTTTGTGCCGTGTAGGTCATGATCGGTCTGATAGTTGTTTTGTAGACTCGTACTTTTTTATGTTTTTTCAGACGTTTGTTTCGCCAAATTCCATGTTGCCTCATTTCGTCCTCCATATTTCCATAACTGGTAATGTCAATACCCAGATATTTAAACTCCATCTCTTGTTGAATTACTTGCCCGTCCACTTCTAGTTTACATCTGAGCGGCTCTTTTGATGTGGTCATAGATTTCGTTTTTTGGGCTGAGATAGTCATGTTAAATTGCTTGCCTGTGCGGTTGAAGATGTTTAAAAGTCTCTGCAGATCGTCTTCGTTCTCTGCACATATCATTGCATCGTCTGCATATCAGATAATTGTCACTTTTTTTAACACTTCATTCATAATTATATTAAATAACAACGGACTAAGAAAGTTTCCCTGTCTGATACCGTTGTTGGCCTGGATAGGTTTAGTTAATTTGTTATTAATATGGGCTTGGATGTTATTGTTCAAGTATATATTTTCTATCGTCTGGACAATATTTATGGGTATATTTCTGTTATACAATAAATGTATTACATCTTCAAGATGAACACGATCAAATGCCTTTGTGGGATCAATGAAGCATAGGTAGCATATTATATTCTATGGATGTCTCTGTTATCTGTCCTAAGACAAAAACTGCATCCACGCATGAGGGTCCTCTTCTAAACCCTTGTTGTTCATCTTGTAGCGACGTAAGACCATTGATTTTGTTGGTTTGTTGGTAAAACTTTAATACTGTTTTATCATTAAAATTATCCAAAGTGACTTAGATCGTATTTCCCGTGTCCATTCATTACTGCTTCGTATAGCTTGCACAAAGTTTAATTATTATTCGTAATATATGTTGCAATAAAACTTGTAATGACATCTCTCCAACTTTGCTGTATACCGTTTACAGCTTAGGTTTGTAAACAATAAAATTATGAATTGGATAGCTCTAACGCATTTAAAGAATTGTATATATTGTTTTTACTAAAAAAAAATATCTTATAAGCCATTCCACATGATTTCGACTGTATGTCGTAAATGTGTTAAACATTATCACTAAAAAAATTGTATTGAGTTTCTGAAGATTATTATTAAGAATCAAAATATCAAATTATAAGAAGCAGTTTCGATGTTTAAATAATATTGAAATAATGCGCCTTCTAAAACAGCGTATTATTTCCGCGAAAGACGTTGATTGATCGACGTGTAGCATATTTATGTTTTGGAACACACGAGCTTTGAATTATAAACTTACATTAATAAATAGTTCCTTTGAATTTTGGCCATCTGCTAAACTTAATAAATCGACTTTTTTCGGAAACAATTGAAAAATCACACATACTTTGAAATGCAAGCGGCAACAGTAATCTCTATAATGCCATCTGGGTTCGGAAAAAAATTGCGGTAGGTACAGTTGCGCCTTTTCGGTATAAATATTTCAGCGTGTCATAAGATATCAGAAACGCCCACAAACCCTTCTGATTACAAACCGCTTCTGATGGACAGTTAAAGTTTCCACTCTTTATTTTCCACCTGTTATTAAGGCTTGCGCACGTTTTTTAATATCAGCGGCGGGTAGATATTCTTTCATTCAAAAATAATACTTAAAAATAGAATCATAACTATGGACTAATGAGCAAAAAACAGGATTTAAGATAATGTTGATTAGCAGGGTCCACAAAAGCAGAAGTCGTTAATAAATTTAACCGTTTTTTCCGAGGGCTCTGTATATCGGCCATCCACGGCAATGGTTGTGCGTGGTGCCAGTTTAAAACATTTAGGTGCAGCTCTTAAATATTTAAAAGCGACGGGAAATCGCCTTAGTCCATTCCTGGAGACCATGCCTAGAGCGAAGTCTTACTTCAGCTACATCCGTCGGCTGATGATGATTATAGGAATATGGAGAATACAAAATGGAGAAGAATTGTCAACAAAGGAAAAGCGTTTATACCACATTTACGCTGCTACGTTCCAAGTTATTTCCACTTCAGGAGGACTATCGGTGCTATTGGAAATACCGACCTTAATTAAAAGAACTTCGGTATTTTCCGTCCCTGGTAGGTAGTGGTAAACAACTATTACAAATATTGAGCAACGGCTTTCAGTGTTGGACAATGTAAGCAGGGTCACGATGTACGGCCTTATTGTGTTCAAAATGGTCATGTGGCGATCGAAACGGATGTTCGATTTGCTGAATATTGCTTTAGAGTATGATTCTCAGTTAGCTGTTCACGCCGACCCGAAAATAAAAGAAATATACAAGCAATACTTGGATTATGGAGATACGGTTATCAGCATAATTTTTTTGTCTGGAGTTTTGATTGGGTTCGGTATAGGAATAATCGGTGAGCTAATGATTAAATTTTATATATTGTAATTTGTATTTTCGAAAACGGGAAACGTACGGTCAAGTTATAGTGTTTCCACGGATATCGTTACCTCAAAATTCAGATGATGTGACGGCAAATTCGAGAGTTACAGATTTATGTAGAGAGTGATTTGCAAATAATGAGCAAAAATGAACGCCAACTGTTGTATTGAATGATAAACTAATCTTAATACATATGAGTCACTTCAAAATTATAATTTATGTATACAATTGGGATCAAATTTCGGTAAAAAAAATCCTAATCAATAGTCAATGATCCAGTTGTTAAAGGTACTTTGCTTTTATATTATTCTATGTTGACAATTTTTGACACTAATGCAAGCCTTTCCAAAAAATTTGGGTGCTCTAGTGATGGAGATACTAAGCAGAATCCTATTCCACAGATTTTTTTAACAGACACGATGTGTTTGAATTCATTTTTCTATTCTTCGAAAAAGAAGCGATTTTTTCGATGCATATTTTGAATAAATGTGCCAACATGTTCAATTTTAATAGGATTAGTTCAGAACAAAAGAGATGAGTGTGAAATAAAAACGAAAATACCATGTACTACTGTAATATGTTTTTAAGAGGAGCACAACTAACTTTGTTTTTTAATCACAGCATATTTATTTAAATTAATTATCAAAATCTTCTTTTATATCACAATGTAACAATCATTTGTTAAAGTGGCCTTAAATTACATGGATTGAATGAGATTTTGTTCACCACCTAATCGAACATATTTTTTATAATATTTTTTTAGTTGGTTAGTTTTGATTAGATTAATAAATAGTCAGTAAAGGCAAATAGAGATTCTGTTTCCTTCAGTCTGCTAATAATCGGACAATTGAAAACTTTAATACTGTTTTATCATTAAAATTATCCAAAGTGACTTAGATCGTATTTCCCGTGTCAATTCATTACTGCTTCGTATAGCTTGCACAAAGTTCAATTATTATTATATATATATATTTTGATCCGCCTTAAATATTTTCACAATCCCGTAGGAATGAATGGAATTTCAATTATCCGGTGCTATGGTTGATATAAAATACGTTTTAGGAGATATAAATTGTTATAAGTATTTCATGGAAAACAAAGGCCGTAACGTGTCAGGAAATCCGTTACCGTTGAATCTCTGGTATCCTTTTGATAAAAACAAGTATTATACAATGGTGCTGGTAGACCAAAACATTCGGCCGACAATGTGTTGCCTATGTATCGGCGTCGTGGGCGCTTCCGTCAACTCGGTTGTAGTATTTCTGACGCTACAGTTGAAGCTGCTACAGTATTATTTCAGAAACGCGGATACATTCAGAATCGATGACGAAGTGTTTGAAGACATCGTGGAGCGTAATTTGAAGCTGCTTTGTGTCAAACATCAGGAATTAATCGCGTGAGTGTCTTGAAAATTTGTCTGCAACAATTTCGGTTCACAGCTTATTATTATCGTTCTAGATTCGCAGAGGAGCTACGTCAGACATTGAAAAATATCATATTAATAGAGTACGCTGTTTCCTCAGCCTCTATAGCCATCTTAATTCTTCAAACCATCGCAGTAAGTGGTAGGAAAATCTCTTTTTTATTATTAAAAATGTGTAAAATGACATAGAGCAAGATGCTTTATTTTCTATTCTTTGAAAGCAAATCCCCCTTTCCGCAATGGATACGAAACCTGATGTCGGTGTCTTTTGCCCAATTTCTAAAAAAAAAATCCTAATGGCAAATCCAATCAAAATCTGCTACCATTTCAGAATCATAGGAGAATTCCAGACAAAAATGTTTCTACCATGCAAAACTTTTGTAATTCAATGAAACAATTTCTCGAGCAATTTCTGACGAAAAATTTAATGATTTAGGTGCAACAAGTTTAAGTAATAAGATTATGCAACTTTAAACATAGTAATACAAAAAATTAATTCATACTGATAGTTGTGAAATTGTGTTAGTAGTCTTACCTATGCTGATAATATAGAAACTTTTCAAAGCACTAGCAGCGTTCAACAACCAACATGGCTACTGGTTACGGCTTAAAATTAGTTAAGTGTGTTGAAAATGGCTGTTTAGAAAAATAGTGCAAAGTGCATAAATTAATGGAAAATCTGGTAAAAACTTATGCGGTGTTCAAGACCAAGCAGTTTTCTGATTTTGTTTGGTTTGTATTTGTGTGTGTTTTTTTTTTTAAATTAGAGCATGCTGTTGTCCTCTTCAACTTCTCTCTACCTTACGCTCTTTTATAAGTTGAAGCTCTTTGTATTGTAGGCCGTTTTGCTGATTTTGATGGTTAAATGTGGACTAAACATACTCATCCTTCTTAGAGTGTCTGCGATGGATTTTTTACTATTCCACGTCACTTTGATCAGTTCCAGGTAGAACCATAAGTGCATTTGTCTTCTTGTTTAAGAGTCATATCCTGACAGCATTTTAGGAGTACAAAGCGGTATGGAGACGGGAAAGCTTCTTGTATCAGAGGTGTTTGCTTATATTAATGAATCCTGTTAAGGCGATTTCAATGTGCCTTCCTATCTTTTTTGAGTGATTCATCTGGGAATTTACTTCCTTTTCTGTATAGATGTAACTCTTTACTCTAGTTCTCGCCTTCTGGGCTTCAACTGAAGACAAGTGTTTTGGTCTTTGCGTTTATGTCCAATTCCAATCTGGCACTCACCCTTGCTAGAGTTCTCATTAATGTTTGTAGCTGTTCTTCAGATTCAAAACCACTGTGTCTCCCGAAAGTGTCCTTAAGTTTTTTGATTTGAAAAACTAAACTAAAATTCGATGTGTTAACCAATACCCATTTGTTTTCTGTATTGTGGTCGCGCCATCCAAACAATACTATTTCAAATTGGTAAAAACTGCGTATTTCTAAATTTCTGTGATAAATGTTAGTTCCTTTAAATCATACAAAAATAAACTAGGTGTCCCGTTTTCAAAATCGAATTTTCTGTTAACAACTATTAGTTCTAAAAGTATTACACTTATGCTATTAAATTCTACGAAAAAATGTGGTTTGAAAATGTTTTCATAGAGACACATTGAAATGTGATTTTCACAAATCACATTTCAAGTGATTTCTAAGAAATGCACATTTTCGAAACACACCTGGGAAACGGAAACATACATTTATATGCGATCTGTACTTATGTTACTTATGAAGATTTTCCTGCTCCAGAACGAACTTTCACTAATTTTTTATCAAACGCCTTTGCTTTCCATAGATTGTATGAAATTACCTTAACATTATTAATGTCATATCCTCAGAGTAAATACCATAAAAACGTTTGATGTAATATTTGCCATTAACAAATGTACTATCATTTTAGAGTGGCGAACTTGTGTTAAACTTAACCATGCTGACCTACACAGTACTGCAGCTACTTATATTCGCTTGGAATTGTAACGAAATCATCATTCAGGTAACAACGATTTATCGTTATTCTAATGTATCTACGCATATTTTCCATACGGTCATCCATAAATGGCCTCAAAGGCGTAAAAAAATCCTGTATAGGCCTTAGAAATTTTTGAAAAAAATTAATGAATATAGTTTAACTTTTTATACCATTCGCTAGGGCAACAATATAGTCTGCATATCAAATATTCGTTAGTTCTAATCGCAGTTAGAAAGTCAAAAGTTTGTTATAGTCTGAATCGTGCTCAATAGCGCTAACGAAATCTAATCCGGGTTAATATCAGATAATCTGTTGTCTGTTTCCTGTTTGTGAAACGGTAGAACAATTTTCGAATTTTTTTTTAACCGATAGTTTGAGCCATATTCGCTTCTTCCAACGTCTGTTTATTTTGTTCATATAAAATGTGAAGTATTTTGAAGAATCGAATACCATGGAATCGAGTATTGTATTGGATACTTAATACTGAGTAGTTCTAATCGTAATATCATGTTTGATAAATATACATAAATTCTTTGAGACATCTTGTTTTACTTACTAAGAATATAAAGTTATTCTTTTATTTTCGGACATTATGTCCATTGAACAGGCATAAATGTGTTAGATGTTAGTTTTTAATCGTATTTGTCATCTCAACTGCTGCTGTATTGTATTTTTTAAAATTATGACTGCGACTGTGGTACATGTACATACATACATATAAAAATTATATTTAAAATGTTACATAATTCCTGAATTGTCTAGAAACGACAGTGTTTAGTTTTTTTTTTCAAACACCCGGTAGGTATATTATCTAAATTGTGAAAGATTTATTTTTCCGAAATGAGTAATCCTGCCATTTAGAAAGATATTAAAAAAAATTAAAATACCGGGTATTCCGAATTTAAATTTCTAAACTTATGCTGCAAATACTGATGTTTCGTTGAATGAACGACCTGCGTAGGTAATAGTAGTAATTAAATGATGAACTTTTATCACTTTTTCAGAGTTCGGGATTAGCGGACGCCCTGTATCAGAGCAATTGGTACGATCAAACTAAATCGACGAAGGCGATTTTGCATGTGATGATGATGAGGTGTCAAAAACCGATTCGTTTAACTATCGGTATGTTTGGGGCGATGGATTTGGAGGCCGGAGTTTCCGTAAGTATGCGAAAATGGTTCGCGAAAAGTTTAAAATTTGAAAATTATTTTTGTGATCGCTAAGTATTTCTAATCATGAGTCATATATTGGCTTTAAAGTTTCTGTTGCTGTGCTTCCTAATTAAAAAGTTCTAGTCCAATTTTTATTTGTTTCAGAGATTGAAGTTGGGTTATACATACACGACGCTAGTTCACAATTAAGGTCTCCGACTTCGACGTCATATTGTAGAATTAAAGGGCACTCATTTATGTGTGCTATAGACAGCATAACCATTTTAGTCGATGCAGCTAGTTGCTTACTTTGAACATACACAATTCCATTCTTAATGAATATTTGCAAAAAATTAGTTTAGTAGGTATTATTTTAATAGTTTTACACAAGAATGAGTAAGCATTAATTTCTATAACCTTACTTGACATTATTTAGTAGTAACAAACGATGCGATTACCCCTCACACTAGAGTAAGTTTTGGTCAGTTTTGATAGGATTTTATGTAATCACAATATTTTCACGATATTTTCTGTGTGCCAGTTTCTCTTCTTTCTGAAACAGAAAATATCATCGGTGTTCTATAAAATGTATTGAGTTTTTCGTCAACCATGGCTGCTTATTTGTTAAACGGAACAGACCCGAATTCCACAAATATATTGAATTTTTAGATACAGTGTGATTTTGAAAATTTTGAGAATCGTTGTCGCTCAGTCATGCGTTTGATTTATAAACGAAAGTGCGGATGTTTAAGGAAAATTCTCGATAATTTTATTAAACTTTTCATCAATTATACTGGGTGTTTCAAAACAAATGCAAAAAACTGTGATTCCTTAAAAACGAAAATAACAAAATATAAAATATTAAGGAAGTAATATTATTATGATATCACAATTTCAATTTTGTTTTATCTATTATTTATCCTAACTAATTTTAAATGAAAACTTACGGCATGACACAGCATGCCCTAAAAATATGTTTTATTTTATGTTTTATTTAGAATCTTTTGAAAAAAAGGAGTTTCTTATTATTGTTGTTTTCGACACTGTTGTTAGTTTCAATCCACTGATAATACAAAAATATGCGAAACTTTGTTTTTATAATTGTAATACTTCCGTAATATTTAATTGTTCTATTTCTGTTTTGAGATAAAAAATAAAAATATTAATTTTCCGCCATATTTCTAGCCATCTATTTTAGACCCAACGATTATATAACAAAGCCACCTTTTTTTTTAAAGAAGATACCACCAGCTTAAGATGTTCGCATTTGTTTAGAAACATCCTGCACAATACATAAGAGCTATTTCTCAAGTTACTTATTTGTCGAAATAAAATTATATGTGTGCAAGCTTAAATCTGCATTGATAATACGCTCCAATTATGTTTAAATATTCATATGTGTTATATAAGAGAAAACAAAAATTAAAATAGTAATTACAAATTGTCACTACTGTTTCTTTAGTAAAGTATATTAAAAAAATGGACTTCCTTTTTAAAGTCGCCGGCCGGAGAATAGACACCCAAATTCAAATACGATATAATTCTAATGAAGTGAAGTAACCAGTATCCAACATAATCGAAATCATTGTTTTGAAATTAAAAGTATTTAATATGAGATTCATTAAAACTCGGATAGTACTTAAATCTGCAGTTTTATCGGTAGACGTCCTATATGTTGTCTTTAAAGTCTCAATAAACTTCAAAATATCCTAAATTGACTTTCACTAGATTGATTTAAAAACAAATTACCTTTGCTACTAAATAAAGTCCACAGAATAGTAACGACTGTGAAATCGGTCGGACAAAATCACGCATCCTTGCGGTAAGCTTCATAACTATTTCAGAAGACAATGTAAGGCGACACTCCCACAGACGCTTTTGATTAAAGGGCCCTGGTTTAAATTTTGTGCTATTTATTTTCTCTCTGTTATTAGGGCGTAAGAACGTTGACGAATGAACATCAGAGGCGCACATATTTTTTTACAAACTACCTCGAAACAAAAAATGCCGGTACCGAGTCTTAACAAATATAATAAATTAACAATATTAAACTAGTCGCAATTGATTTCGTGCAGTCGGGATTTTTGATATTTCTGATTTCAATTAATGATGGAAAGTTGACAAATTAGTATATTAGGTTTTGTTGAAATTTTGGATTTTTTTTTGTATGTGGTATCAATTGACTAAAAAGGAACTCTCGTAGAAATTTTCGTATTTACCAAAAAGTCATGTCGAAGTTTAAAAGTAGAAGAACGTTTCATCAAAATTGTAGAGCACGATCTGGTCAGTGTTTATGCAGTCAATTTTTTGCAGATCACTCTACATTTAAACCATCAAAATGGAATATAGTAACTATCAAATGAAAAACACAGTTGGCAAAACAAGTTATTAGTTAGTGATTTACAGCCAATCAAATTAAATGATAATAAAACTCACTCGTCAATGTTTTCAAGAAATATAAATCTTTCGGTTTTGGCTTTCTTGGTAGAACCATATTGCTTTTATTGAAGCATCTCTCCAGTGTCAACTACAAAATTAATTTTTTTAAATAGCGTATAATCTCCAGCTATTATGAATTGTTTTCATTTAATTTTGGCATATGCTGTTATAATGTGGTAAAAATCAACAGATTCCATACAAAAAGTCTATTAGCACTCCACTCAGATAATCATTTGCTTCGAGCTAGGAAATTTAAATACACTAAAAACTTAAAAAATTCTCTTGACCTAAGCTTTGTGATTTAAAACTTTCAAAGACCAAAATCCTTTTTTGAGCATTGTTTTTATTCTGTAGCGGAATAGAACAAAAGGTAAAAGCAATTGTTCATGTTTGATTCCTGTTTGATTTTGTATGTATGTATTGTGTTTGTATATTTACTGATACTTCATATAATCATATACTTTTTTGCATTTAGTGTTACATATTTGTATTGTAAAATAGTCAAATAAAGAATATATCTATCTCATTTTACAATGCTTTTTTTATTTTTTTGGGTAACACGTATCTATTTATTGCGATAGCGTTCATATTCTTATCCGAATTAATTGTCCTCGCCACGTGACGCCAATGCTTCAATTCTCATTGAATATATTGGTGGACGGTATAGAGCAGTGACAGTTGACGGAGTTCAGTAGTACAGCTCTACCGATCATGCTCTCGACGCAGCGTTACTTCAGATTCATTCGACAGTTAATGATGATTATCGGAACGTGGACAGTCCAGACAGGAGAGCTTTCGACATTAAAAAAGCGTTTGTACCAAGTTTACGCCATTACTTTTCAAGTCATTTGCACCTCAGGTTCACTGTCGTTGTTAGCGGAAGTGCCAGCTTTAATAAAAACTAGTTCCATAACATCGGCTGCAGGTAAGTCCGCGATATGATTTGATCTGGATGATTAAACCGAGGTGAGGTATTGGCAGTGATGGACAACGTAGGAAGATTGATGATTTACGTTGTAATAATGTTTAAAATATTCATGTGGCAGTCCAAACGGATGCTAAATTTACTAAGCGTTGCTCTACAGCAAGACTCCGAGTTAGCGGGTGAAACTAACCCAAAAATTGTAAAAATATATAAGAAGCATGTAAGCCAAGCAAACAATGTAGTTACCATAATTTTTTCTTCCGGTATCCTGATTGGGATCGGCGTGGCATTAATCGGTAAGTCAATTTTCCGATTTCTCCTTTTGTTGAAAAAGAGATTTTTGGATCGGTAATCAAACTCTTTAGTACTCTAGAAACTCCTGTAAAATAAAAATCCATATAGCGGGAGGTTGAAGGTCTAGAGAGAAGCGAAAACTGGTTTTGTTTGAAAATTTGGATTGGGGTTTTCAAGTGTGTCCATTGAGGCAAGACATTTTGGACAACGGAACATTGCCCTTTCTAACAATATTTTTTTTTAAATCTCGATAAATAATACAGTTTGCAAGGAAAAAAGAACCTATTAATATTGACTTAAAATTAGGCAGTATAAAACTTAAGAGAGTTACTCAAGTTAAAGATTAGGCATTATACTAGAACTAGACTCTGAGTTAACATTTGAAGCACATGTAGAAAATATTGTAAAGAACGACTTGAGAAATCTTGGTTTTGTATGACGTAAGACCAAGGGCTTTCGCAACCACAAATCAGTCATCAAATACATCTTGGAATGCCCATCCACCGTATGGAATCCGATCTAAAACCTTTTTAGAAACCTTAATTTTAGATATTTTTTACTTTTTTTACTACTTTTCGTATGAAAATAACCTACAGTTTCATAAATTAAGGTCGCTTGAAACACGTAAAAATTGCTCAAACGTAATTTTTCTTTATATAATTGTCAACAATCTTATTGAGTCATCTTTTTGTCTTTTAATACTAGTCCTTATCGAATGCGTACTTAGGAAAACTTTTTCTATAGAAAGAATCAGATCTAACTTCTTAAACTCTTCGCTTTTTAGATGTACTCGAATCTACTATTTATTTTTCTGAATAACGAAAATACGGACTTATTCAACTGTTTAAAAGAAACGTATTTTTAATTTTAATTACTGTCTTCTAGCTTAGCAAATATCTAGTTAAATGACTTTTGTATTCCCGACTATGTGTAAGCCAATGTTTAATATGCGCTATTATGCAATTGGGCAGCCTCGCCTTTGGGTTTATAAAATTAAAATAAAATAAACATATGTCAAAAACGTAATCTTAAATTTCTTACTCTAGCTTTTATAACATCTCATCATCATCTAATTTAATATATATGGCTATCTAGAGCGGTTTTTGAAGTATTAATATCTTTTTTTTGAAAATTACGTACCTAAGTCAATATTTTCTTGACACATTTTTATTAGGCAGCCATCGAACGCCATCTTGTTTAAAAGTTTTGGGCAATTGCTATTAATATTTTCTTTAAAATCAATTAAAATGGATCACAATAATTAAACAAGACAACTTGCTACTTGGATTACTAGCATACTTAAATAGTAAAGTTCTACAATATTGAAGGAGAAATTTTAGTTATTTTTCAGAATTTTTTACAATACTGAGTGTTCCGATTGATAAAATAACATTTCCACCGTTTTTGCGTGTCACATCAAAATAATTCATTAAAAAAAACCGTATATTACGGAATAAATTTATCTAGGTAAATCTAATGTCCAAGGTTTTCGCAATCTGAAATCAAAATTTCAACATTGTTTGAGTTCAAAAACGTAGGATAAGTGGCAACGTTGCGTCAATCAAAATATGTGAGGTCGGTAGAGCAGACTCGAAATTCTAAGTAACCAAATTTTCAAAAAGACCCTTTCTGATGGGTAAAATCACTTACATGTTACAATTTTAGGAGATTTAAACTGTTATATGTATTTCAAAAATCAGAAAGGGAGCGACTTGAAAGAAAATCCTTTACCGTTGAATTTGTGGTATCCATTCGATAAAAACAAATATTACACATTGGTGCTCTTGGATCAGAATATTCGTCCGATACTCACTTGTCTATGCATCGGTGTCGTAGGAGCATCCATCAACTCTATTGTGATGTTTCTCAAACTGCAGTTAACACTTTTGCAGCATCAGTTTAGAATCGTCGATAAATTCGAAGCTGTGGAGTATAATTTGAAGTTCCTCTGTTTAAAGCATCAGAAATTAATCGAGTGAGATACTTAAATTATGACAGTTTAGGGATTATTTGAAAACATTTTTTTGTTTAGATTCGTCGAAGGTTTCAACGAATCTGCCAAGAACGTAATTCTATTGGAATATACGGTGTCGTCCATTACCATCGCCATCATCATTATTCAACTTATTTCGGTAAGTATTGTTACTTAATAAAAAGTTTTTTCACCATTTTTAGACATTTTGGACCTATCAAGTAAACTTAATAGTTCAGTTAATAATTGGGAACCCAAAAAGTGTTAGGTACATATGCAGGGTGCAAATAATGAATAATGACGAAACAAATATACAGTAAGGTGGATAGCATCCTTGAAAATGGAATCTATTCTTACTTACACAGCCTGTCCAGTTAATAATGAAGATACCTAAAACATCAAAAAACCGCAAGAGTAACTAACATCGGGAGAAATATTGGGCGTCTCACGTTTCTGTTAGCATATATTGAGAGAGTTATCATTCTAAAAACTAAGAGCTTAAATATAGTCAGGTGTGCGACGTCTTTCTTGGGGGTCCTAATTACCTGTATTTAGTGCATTCATAGCTTGTTTACTTCCACTTATGGATTACTGAGGACCTTCTTGTTTCCCTGGATAAGAACTGCGTCCTTGAATTTCATCTCGTACCAGTGTTGTTCTCTGTGAACAATTGTTGCTTCTGGTTGAAGGATTTGGTGTTGCTTTTCCCATGCTTGTTTTATTATTCCAGGTTTCGTTGTTTCGCCTCACTGTATGTTATTCTTGTTTTCCTTAATGCGAGTTTCCTTAGGTCTACGAGTTTCCCCCAATGCACACTTCTCCGCATTTTCATGAGACTTTAAATATGCAGTTTTTGATGATTTTCTGTTCAGAGGGTTTTGTCCTGGTGAGTGTCGATAGATCTTTATGACTACAGCTACGAAGTCGGTTAAATTAGTGTAGTGTATTTGAAGAAAAGCATAGCGATATAGAAACAATTTTGTAGCTTTAGAATATGTAAATAATTCTTATTTCGAGTTTTAATATGGTCAAATAAATCAAATGGTATACAAGGGGCGTTATTTAAACCAAGGAAGCAGTTTACCTTCCTCTGTTTGTTTAAAGAATGAATTGAAATATAAACAAGTCTAAAGAAGCTGGTACATTCGTCAGATATTTCGAATTGGTCACTGTTTTTAATAATTAATTATTATTTCTAGAGTGGCCAATTCATGTTAAACTTAACTTTGCTCTCATATACTTCGCTTCAGTTGTTATTATTCGCTTGGAATTGTAATGAAATTATCGTTCAGGTAATAATGCTCTTCGATACCTCAGCGGTGACATTAAGATACGATTTTAGAGTACGGCATTGGCGAATGCTCTTTATGAAAGTAATTGGTATGAGCAAAGCAAATCGGTTAAAAGAATTTTGCAAATCATGATGTGCAGGTGTGAAAAACCGCTTCGATTGAGAATCGGCATGTTCGGAGCGATGGATCTGGACGCCGGAGTCTCGGTAGGTATAAAAAAAGAGTTTTCTCAACTCAGCAACGTAGATGAGATAGATAGAATTAATTTAGACTTTTTTAAACATCATAAAGTACCAAAGTTGGTTGGGGAAATTTTTCTGCATTTTACAAATAGAATTCCACTGTATTGAAAAGATCGTTCGTGTATATAATGAATGGCAGTCGTCCTAGAAGAGAACCTTGTGGAACGCCATCCATAACCCAGCTGGGGCTTACAATTTTTTTGTTTCAGTTGATATCAGCCAGTTTCAATCGATTGTGGAAGTATAGGTTTTTCCAAGTTCATTTATTTTATTTTCATTTATGGATACTACTCCTTTTTCTCGCAAAGCCCTCAAGCTTTTTTTCCCACAGCAACGAGGACTTTACATATCATAACCATGAACGTCGTTTTAAATCAGTTTCACTATAAAGGGGAATTGGTGACATGGATATGACTTCGACATTTAAATATTGTCAATTCTCACTTCAATCTGTTTTTTTTTTCAGTGTAGTTGAGAATAATTACAAATAAAAACAGTCAAAATTTCTTTGAGCAGGATATCACAATTTTATGTTTTTTGTTTCAGAGATTAAAATTAGGTTACTCGTACACAACGCTGGTGAAAAATTGAATTGAAAAATCATTCGACAAATATATGTATCAACGCTCGGGCTTATACACGTGTGCAAGGAATCTTTTTCTAACCTTTGTGATTGAGGCTGAGAACTTTTAATAGTTTTATTATTACTTATCTAAATTATTGTCAGATTTTTGTTTGCTAAATGTTTAAATACGTATGTAATTTTTTTTTGTGAAATTACGTAATATTGTAATGGTAAGAAGTAGACAGTCAGATGGCTGACAGCAGTAATATTAGAGGGAGAAACAGAATATTTAATAGCTCAAGACCAGGCCATTTCAACCAACTATCTATATCAGGAAAGAGATATTTATAGAAAAAATGGAAGCAAGATGTAGACTTTGTAAGCCATATGATGAAACAATTAAGCACATTATCACAGGCTGCCCAGCTTTGGCAAGGAAAGAATATCTTGAAAGTCATAATGAAGCTTGCTTAACACTACTTTACAATATCTGTAAATACTACTACTAGAGACTTAAAAAATACGATATGTCGATTAATCGACGTCGCAATACCATCAGATGCCACAATAAAAGAGAAGGAATCTCGAAAGATCATAAAATACAGAGACTTTCAAATAGAAGTACAGAGAATGTGGGGGGTTAAAACAACTGTTATCCCCGTCATAATCTTTTCTTTGAGACAGCTCACATAATCCACTAATAATAATATAAAAAATTCAATAATAATAATATAAAAACCATACCTGGTATCGCATTTTGAAGATAAATATACTGCAATTATATCGGCTACTTCATCATTTGTCAGAAGCATTTTAATAGTTTTAAGGACTTGCTTTTGTGTGTAACAAACGAAAATTACACTGTCTGTATAAGTATAATTTTTATAATTCGTAGGTACTTGTTTTTCGACCCTGGACTACTCTTCATATTCTGCCAAATACAAATTTATTAATAATTATAATTACCGGAGTAATAGCGCCTTTAAAATAGTTAGCCAATTTTGGTATCATATCAGTATATTGTTACGAAATTGCCTATAATTTTTTACAGAATTTTGCATTTTTTTAGTGTATCGAAAATCACTTTACCATAATCAATAAGAAGTAAAACATCACAGATGTAATTTAAAAATATTTTCGACGGGGCTCTGTTGATCAATTTAGTAATGACATTTTTTACCGCAACGGTCGATATGTTTAATATGTATTTTAAATCTAAGGCACCCTTAAGATACTCTCTATACCCTAATGCTTTAAAAGCCATGGTGCCAGAGGGACTGATAACTTCCTCACGGCAAGTACGTATCCTTGCGGCTAACTCAATAAATATTTCATATTATAGGAAATCAAAAACTCCTGCAGCTCGTTTTGATTACAGACTATGTATTTAAATTTTGCGCCGTTTATTTTCTCCCTGTTATTAAGACGCAACAAAGGGTTTTAAGGACATCCAGAGGCGTACACGTGCATTGCATCATAAATTCACCCTCCTCTATAGGATATCTCATGCAGCTTTAAATATTTATAACGTCGCTCTTATGGGACATTTTATAACTGACGTACTGATTTTCAAGATAAGTAGCTAGGAGTAGTAGCTCTATAGTCTTTTCTGATATTAAACAGAAAAAACTGCTTTCATTGAGCCTTTTATTTATAACTGAAGGACATACAGGAAAAAACGCGTCGCGTTGTTTTAAGTAGCTGTTCTGACATCACTATATATGTATATAAAAAAATTGTACTATTTATTGCCATTGATGTATTGCGTGCCATTTAAAAATAGGGCAGGTTTAACAGCACCATTTTCTAAGATTCTAGAGAAGACTCAAATTGAATTAAACTATTGATTAGGTTTATCCAATAATTATTAATTAATACCATAATTACTTTTATCTAGATTAACTTAATTTGCATGCATAAACCATTCGGATTAGGAACTATTTCTAGACTTCATTAAAATAAACTCGAAAACGAAGTTAAGGGAAAGTGAAAACTGAGATTTCTAACGCACGCCAATGGTTCAACTATTCTTAGTGTTTATTACAATACGTTGATCGACGATATTCGATAGCAGCAGGAGCGATAGAATTCATATTGACGAAATCCTGTCGGAATATCAGTTCAACAATGCATTCGCAGAAGAGTTATTTCAGCTACATTCGACAGTTGATGATGGTTGTCGGAATATGGAGAATAGAGGAATAAGATTGCACAATGTCAAAGAAACTTTCGTACCGAATTTACTCCATTATATTTCAAGTGATTTGCAGTTCGGGAGCGTTATCTACGTTGGCTGCTGTGCCAGCTTTAATTAAAAACCATTCTGTGGTTATTCGTAAGTCTAGTCTGAAATCGAATAAATGAATATTAATATGATGTTTTCAGTGATGGACAACGTTGGCAGGCTTATGGTTTATATTGTTATACTCTATAAAATATCCATCTGGCAATCAAAGCCGATGTTGAAGTTGCTAAGGATTGCTTTGGAGACAGATGCTCAATTAGCTCATGAAACCGATCCAGAAATTCAAAAAATATATAAGAGTTACGTCGATTATGGAAATAAAATTGCTACTGTTGTTTTGGTATCTGCCATCTCAATGGGGGCGGCCACTGCAATACATGGTAAGTTAGTAATAACCGTTATCTTGAAACATTTTTGAGAAGTTAATTTTTGTATAGATAATTTATTTGGGAGGTGTGTGACCTTTCTGAAAATAACAAAGTTATTGTTTTCTTTTTAAAAAAATGGTATCCAGTGTATCTCTGCACCAGTAACAATTCATTGCATTAGATACGGGAAGATAGATATGTTATAAATTTTCATAAACTTCAACCTTTTTGTTTAGGAGTTGATTGTTTATTCATAAATACTTTTAGGAACTTAAATGTCCAAAATTTGTGTTGATGTACTATTTTACATACTGAAATAAAAAATTCAAACAACGTGGGATGAAGAGGGCATTGCATAAACTGCAAAATTCAATGGAATGGAATTTGTTGCAGTATAGTTTTCGAAGTAGTGTAAAGGGGATTCACGTTAGATGTCCAAAGTTGCCATTGATTTCGGATAGATCGTAAAAGCTGCATTTCCCAAAATAAACTCAACTCCGTTTTTAAACGATTAGAATTTTTCTAAACACTGGTATTGTTGGGTTATTCTTAAGTTTTTAATTTGTAACACAAGTAGTCACTTACCCAAAATTATAATTTAATAAATAAATAAATAAATTATTGACAAACTAGATAGATAGATTGTTATGCTGAAAAGTAGTTTATCACCAAGACTTTTAACTGGAAGTTTTTATTAATTGGATTTCTACATCAAGCGCAATGACGCAGATATCGAAAAGCGATATAAAATTATATGTCAAACTCGTAGCAATAGGACTATTAGGCCTATAAAAATTGAAACTCAAGTTCATGTAGCGCAAAGTTCGCTAATGTAAAAATAATACACACACATTTATATATATATATATATATATATATATATATATATATATATATATATATATATATATATATATATATATATATATATATATTCTCACGAATTGATTCACGGGTGGAAAAATGTGATGACACTATATTCCGGAATATCATCCGTTCGCTCGTTGAACTCCGACTGGAATCCTGCATCCGACTGGAATCCTGCAGACGTTTCGCCAAAATCGTACTTGGCATCTTCAATGCTCGCGTTCCGTGTTCGAAGTGTTTTCGGAGCGCGAGCATTGAAGATGCCAAGTGAGATTTTGGCGAAACGTCTGCAGGATTCCAGTCGGAGTTCAACGAGCTAACGGATGATATCCCGGAATATAGTGTCATCATATATATATATATATATATATATATATATATATATATATATATATATATATATATATATATATATATATATATATATATATTTAGTGTTCGAAGTGTTTTCGGAGCGCGAGCATTGAAGATGCCAAGTGAGATTTTGGCGAAACGTCTGCAGGATTCCAGTCGGAGTTCAACAAGCGAACGGATGATATCCCGGAATATAGTGTCATCACATTTTTCCATCCGTGAATCAATACGTGAATATATATATATATATATATATATATATATATATATATATATATATATATATATATATATATATATATATATATATATATATATATATATATATATATATATATATATATATATATATATATATATATATATATATATATATATATATACGTATTGATCTCAGTTATGCACCTCATTTTCACTGCTTAAATTAGTATCATCAAAACACTATCCGGGAATGAAAAAAAATTGGCCTTTATTTAAAATTTAATTTATAATTTGTTTCAGGAGATTTCAATTGTTATACTTACTTAAGAGAACAAGAAGGGAGGAATCTGACTGAAAAACCTTTGCCATTAAATTTGTGGTATCCATTCGATAAAAACAAATATTACACGCTTGTACTTGTTGATCAGAATATCCGCTCGATTTGCGTTTGCATGTCCATCGGTGTCGTAGGGGCCTCCGTTAATTCTTTCGTAACATTTCTGAACCTGCAGTTGGCGTTACTGAAATATTATTTCAGAAATGTTGAAAAATTTATACCTGGTGGTATGGTTCAAAATGAACCTATCGTGGAGAACAATTTGAAATTACTTTGCATTAGGCATCAGGAATTAATTGAGTAAGAGGTTTGAAAATTATTTTAAATTGATTGAAGTGACATTCACGTGTCTAGGTTTGTTGAGAATTTTAACGGAACTGTAAAAAACGTCGTGCTTTTGGAATACATGATTTCATCTGTCACGATCGCAATTATAACTCTTCAAATCATTGAAGTAAGTATCGTATAAAGCCATAAAAATTTAAAAGATCCACAGCTAAACATACATAATACATGTGAGAGTAATTAAAGTGGCGAAAATCGATCATCATCAGTTAGTATAATCGAGAGTATCCTATTAAGAAAATAAATAAGAATTTTTTGGAAATCCCTTGTTATTTTAACTATCAATTACTTACATCCAAAATAATATTTCGAAGTAAAAAATGATACCAATGCGATTTTTGAACTGTTGCATGTTACCAAAACATTATTGTTCTGATAATTAGCAATCCTACTAAATCAACTACCAATACCAATTCGAAAAACATCAAACAATGTGTGACGCTACAAGGTCTACAGCAAACAGTTTTTAAAAAATGTATTTTCTTCCTTCGTTCATAATAGTGATGATAACAAGAAGGTAATTCCAATGTCACCGATATCTAAATGAGCTGATATAACTAGATTATTTTTGTGGAAGACCGCAACACCACAGAGAACGAGCACTCTGATACTTTTTCTGAAGTAGAAAAAATCAATGGTCAATATGAATCTCTAAAACAAAAAAGTAATTTGCCTTTTCTTTTCAAAGAAACTTCTACAGGCTACTGTAATACTATTTACAAAATTTCTGGATTTCTGTTGAATTCTTTAGAGCTTAACTGTTCACTTCCAGAAAAAATCCAGACGATTTTTAAAAAGTATTTTATCGTGATTATTTGTACCTGATCGTTTAAAAAAAAATATTTTTAGAGCAGTCAGCTTGCTTTAAACGTGGCCATGCTGGCGTACATGGCCATACAGTTGCTCATATTCGCTTGGAATTGCAACGAAATCATCGTCGAGGTAAAAGTATTTTGTTATGGTATATATGTTTCCCCAGACGCATCCGTTTTCAGAGTGTGGATTTGGCGAATTCCCTCTACGAAAGTAATTGGTACCACCAAAGTAAGTCAACGAAATTGATTTTACGTGTAATGATGATGCGATGTCAAAAACCGTTGCGTCTAATAATTGGTTTTTTTGGACCGATGGATTTGGAAGCCGGGGTCTCAGTAAGTATAGAAAAATAGAATAAAGTTCGTTTTTTTTTAAATTGACTAAATAGGGAACAATTATCGCAGTTAACCTTTGAAATTGTTACTCTGTTTATAAAGAAGGCTTCGGAACTTGACAGCATGGAATCGTCTGTCTTGGTTGATTGATTATGACCTTCGAAAAGATAGTTGGAAAACTAAAATTATGAAAATTAATTTTTATTTCAAATACTGTATTCGTAACATACGGCTATACGGAAACTTGACAATAGGTTAGTTGCTTTAGTGGATTGGAAATTGAAAAAACCTACAGGATGTGTGTGGTATTTGAAAACTCAATAAAACTTGTGTCTATAACTCCGGTATAAAATCTTATTTTCGAAACACCCTGCATGTTCCGTCTAAAATGGTATGCCAGGAAACAATGTCTGAGCTCTTTTAGAAAATGTGTGGAAATGTTCTGCTTTCTATTTAATTAACTGAACTACTGAACTGCTAAGATTTATTCAGGGTTCCAAATTGCTTAAAAAGCCAGGAAAATATTTTTTATTTCTATACCAAAATTTACTTTATTTTTTGCGTAGAATTTAAAATGAAATAATATACAGGGGTGTCATTTAAACAAAGCAAGTTGATGGCACGTTTATATAAAAGCGGCAACACTACATCACTGAAAATATTTTAGAGCGATAGGGCACCCCCTCTTACATCGCCCTGTATAATTTAAAATAAATCTGTACATCCGTTATCCAGATATTTCTAATAAAACTTATAATCGTTAAGTTTTGGTAATTTATAAAAAGAAGCTATAGTTTACCTAAGCAGGTAATATATAACAACAACTCTAAATAATTAGGCCGAAAATAGGTTTAATAGGGGTGAGTTATTAAGATGTGATATTGGAATTTTTTTTAATTTGTTCATCTCTAAAGCTTCAAGTATATTTAAATGGCGTCTTTTTCTTTGAAATATTGTTTGAAACTACGATTACATTCTGTTAAATGAATAGTATAGTTGGGATCAAACTTGTATAAAAGCTGTTATACTTAAATGGTATGGAGGTTAATCGATAATTGTAATTTATATCAATATGAATGACAAAAACAATTTAGATTACTAGTATAAGTATGGGAAGGTTTATGGAAAATGGAGAAAGTATGTCTATTTTAAATTCTTCTTTATCAATAGAATCAACCCACTTTTACTTTTGTACTTAGGAAAAAGTGTCAAACTAACATTTTTTTTTTGTTTCAGAGGCTGAAACTGGGCTATTCATATACAACCATCGTGAAAAACTGAACTCTATGTCGTAAAACTGATTGGACATTTCGGTGTTCCAAAAAAGGAAATACCATAACATGCATTTGTGCTTACTTACAAATCCACTACACAAATTTCAATATCACGGTGCATAAAAACACGCATTCTGTCAGCAAACTTAATAAATATTTACGGAATAATAATAGATTCCTAAAGGACTCTACTACCCCTTTTTATTACAGAGCGTTTCGAGGTGGAGGAAAGCTTTTTCTGCCCTGTCATTAAAGGAAGTAATATTGTTGCCACCAGCGGCGCGCATCGGATTATTTTCGCTGCCGAAATGAAATGTTTTTACTTCAGCTTTTCTATGTTTTTGAAATCTAATTTATTAAATGGATATGTGGTTATTAATTAAACCAATTAAATTAACTTTAAAAAAAAGCAAATTTGAATTTATTGTTCGCGTCGCAAACGGCCCGAGGGTCCCGTTCTTTCCGTGCCGCTTTTTTCGAAGAAACGAAAAAGATTTCAAACTTGTGTCTTTTAAAGTTTAAAGTTTAAAAAATGAAATTTATTGAGCCACCTTGGGGAAATGGATTTTAATGCCTAAATAGTTTATACAAGATAATATAATATAAAAGGGTCGTTTTTGGCTATGGCCAGTTTATTTTTGAAGATACGATCTTTATTTAGTTAAAAGTTTGACAGAGAGTGCACCTTGCAACTTAATTCTCGCTAGCTAGTAGTGAAAATATCTGAGTAAAATGTCTGGAGGAAACGTTTAAATGGGATCGATTAAGAGTGCACGCCAATGGTGCCTTGCCTGCAGACGCTATTTAAATGTGCCCGATTTACCATGAATAATAGAAGGTAACTTCAATTTGGTGCGGCGTGTATAGCTACAATTTTTTTGTGAGCTATCATGTGGACAAGTACTAGATATTTTCGCTACATCAGGTTCTTGATGATGACCGTTGGAATATGGCGGATACAAGGCGAAGAGTTGTCAGTAATACATAAATATCTGTACCAGACTTATTCAATGGTATTTCAGCTGATTTGTTCTTCGGCTGTGGTTTCATTAGTGGTTGAAATCCCCACATTGTTAGGAAAAGACACTGCTGCTGGTGGGGCTCTATTTAAGAAAAAGATGTTTTATTTCGGGAAAATGATTTTAGTGATGGACAATGTGGGCAGACTGATGATTTATTTTGTTATCGTATTTAAAATGTCCATGTGGCAGTCTAAGCGAATGTTGCGCTTGCTGCACATAGCATTACAACAAGATAATGAAATATCCCATAAAAGCGATGAAAAAGTTCAGCAAATATACGAGTGGCACGTAAACTACGATAACAAGGTTATATCCGCTATTCTCGTTTTAGCCATTTTGATTGGAATCTGTGTAGCTATATTGGGTACGTCGACAACGACAAAAGTATAATGCAGTTTTCCAAAAGCTATATTCTGGGGGTTGTTTTTTATTTTTTTACAATAGGAGTGTGAGATATAAATTTTCGTGGCTAATGCTGAGAATATGTTAACAAAAACAACGTTAATAGTCTAATAGTTACGTTAATAGTTTTTAAGGATAGGAAAGAAAGATGTAAAACACTAGACTACACAATCGTTATTTATTTTCTTCTAGGTGATATAGAATGCTATAAGTTCTTTAAGAAATCCCTACGAAATAATGTAACAGAAAAACCCTTGCCCCTTAATCTGTGGTATCCGTTCGACAGGAATAAATATTACACGTGGGTGTTGATCGATCAAAACATTCGGTCCACTTTTTCTTGTCTGTGCATCGGTGTGGTTGGGGCCTCGGTGAATTCCGTAGTAATTTTTTTGAAGCTGCAGTTGAAGCTGCTGCAATATTATTTCAGATATATGGGAAATTGTAAAGCAAGGAATATTCTAGAAAGGAATATTGCAGAAAACAATTTGAAGTCGCTTTGCATAAAGCACCAGCGGCTTATTGAGTAAGGGACTTTATAAATTTGGTCTGTACGATTAATGCCGGATATTTGTTTTAGATATGTTCAAACCTTTAACAAATGTGTGAGAAATGTAATATTGTTGGAATATACAGTGTCGTCTCTTACATTTGCCATAATTATTCTGCAAATCACAGCGGTAAGCACTAATAAACTTGTACCTATTTATAATAGCATATTCGGGAAAGTCCAGAAAAAAACAAAGATATAATCTCATTTCTTAAAGGGGGAGCCACTGATCTTCAACTTCACGATGTTGACGTACACTGCAATTCAATTACTCACATTTGCCTGGAATTGTAACGAAATTATCGTTCAGGTGTGTATATCAAAACCTAACCAACTAACCAAAACCTGCCAATATGTTTATTTACAAATCGTATAATTAGGCCCTTAAATTAATTTATGCTATGCAGATTATCGTTTTTAGAGTCTTCAACTTGCGATTTCTCTTTACGAGAGCAAATGGTATGAGCAAAGTAAGTCAGCACAGCAAATAATACACATCATGATGATCAGGTGTCAGCGACCTCTTTATTTAAGGATAGGCTTTCTGGGTGTCATGAATTTGGAGGCTGGATTATCGGTAGGTGCATTTCACAAAGTTAGGATTAAATGATTGTAGCTATTTTTGAAAAACGGTGAGGTTAAATACTAATTATGATTTCAGAGACTTAAGCTGGGATACACATATACCTCAGTCATGAGCTAACGACATCCATGGAAGGTCACTACGTGCTTTACTGTAACTCTCTCGTATTTTGCAAATTAAAATAAATTTGCCCATTTTTTTCGCTTTATGACCTTTTTGTAGTTTCCCTTGACTTTTCCGCCTTGACTAAACTTTGACTTTGACTTTGATGTTAATTCAGTTTTTATTTTGCTGAACAAATTATGGACATAAGGTATGAAATTTTTGTTTCTTTTTCTGACTAATCTTTTGTTTTATTAGTTGTGAACCCCCACATTAAATTCAACAAGATATGACAATCGGAATTAGAATAATTCTATAATACATTTACTGCTCTAAATACTGACAAATGCCAGTGTACATAACTAACGTACAAAGGCTCTTACATATTAAGTTAACTACGAAATTATATCTATGCACGAGATAGTCAATATTCGTAGATAATAAAGGATAATTCTGTGTCGTAGTCATTCAGGTGTCAATGGTTTATCAACTAGAAAATGTATGTCATTTTCTGTTATTAAAAATAGTGCTTAAAGAGTAGCGACGATTGACGGTATGCTCTTCTGTTCCTCTTGATTTCTTTCTCAAATCTTACTATTCTTAATTATTTGCAATAAAATCGTATTTCTTTTAATAATACGGATAGTGATATAAGCTCAAATACAAAATAATTAATCAAATTACTATTTAAATAAACACATCCTTATAGGCCATAACAAAAATTTAAAACAATAAAGTGATATTTTGACTTGAAAACACATTGTTATTGGTAAAAATTATTCGTTCGTTCAGGAAATCTGAATGCTTCATTCAGTTCTACGTCACAATATTTTTTTTTTAATTGCATTTCGTTAGGTTTGGTTTCTAATCCTCTAATTTCCAAATAATGATTTCCGAATCTTTGGCAACAATAAGAAACCAGCTAATAAACACGCACGCACCGTATTTCAATATTGAATCAGTCCCGAGCGTGGAAAAATTGGCAAAAATCCCAACTTCCACACTAATATTAATAGCAAAACTGTCAGGAATGTACTATAACTTAAAATATAAAAAAATGGTATATTATGCAACAAATGCGGTAAACGGCATTTGACTGCCGAATTAACTTGGCACGAGCGGAGCGCAGCGGAGCGAATGCTTAATAAACGAGTGAGATAAAGAGTTTACCAAACGTGTTGCATACTATACTTTTTCTACGGCCGTCACGAAAAAATCACAATTTAACAAATTAAAAATAGTAAGAGATTATTGGATTACTAAATTTCGTACGATTGAAACAAAATATCTTCTAGTTGCCATTAAACCTATTCGTTTATCGTTACGATTAGTTATGCTATTGTTGTCTGTGTACGTTAGATGGAGAGAGAGAGAGGGGGGGGGGGAGAGAGGGAGAGAGAGAGAGGGGGAGAGGGAGGGAGGGCGAGAGGGTGAGAGGGAGAGAGAGAGAGGGGGACAGAGAGAGAGAGAGAGAGAATTGAATATGTCATATAAATACATTTAAACACAATTTTAAAATCTTATGTTGTTTATTTAAATTTTACAATTGAACAGTAAGTAGTTTATTTAAAGTAAAATACTTTAATTGGAAGAAAAATCAGTCAAGGATAGGGCTTTTAGGAGAATTAAATTTTTAAGATCGTATAAGCAAGGAAAAGCAGGTCCTAACCTTCAATTTGGGATTCTGTCGTAAGCATTGTATATGGCGGTTTAACCTTCGTTTGTAATTGTCCCCAAAAACTTTGAAATTGGTTTCCACTTTGTGGATTAAGTGTTTTTAATGTTTAGTGAATATTTTATAGTTGTAATTGTTGTCGGCCCGCTGTTTTTTCCGGATGGTCCGTGGGGGAACCGTGGGAGGCCGTTTCTTGCCATCGGTCAAAGAACCTTTTCTTTGTTGAAATTCCATTTTGTTAATTAACCTGGAGGAAGATGGATTTGTCCAGACCCTTCTCCTATGAAGGCGTTCTTTAGGATTTTTAAATTATGTTCACAATTGTCGTAAGCTGGCCGAATGACCTAGTGTAGTCGTGGCCATTAGATGTAAATCCAATCCAACCATCAATTTTGTTTTGCTTGTACTGATGAGATATGGATATTTGAAAATAGTGCAATTGGTCTTGGTAAGATATTAATATAAAAACTGTAGAAACCACTAAAGATCATGCGAACGGTGTGTAAAATTTCTGTGGGAAATTTAAATTATAATTGTCACTTTACTTACCGAATAGTCCACTAGATTTTAATTATAGCTTATATCGCGTAGTATTTAAATTGTCGGATATATTGCATCACATTTTCCTGTGTATTAGTTTTCGGGACACTTTTGCAAAACAACACGAATATATTCGCTGACATGACCGTCAGAATTGACAAACGTCAAAATTCAAACAATGTGGTAAAATCTCCGAAAACATCCGAATTCTCCTAAACCCGTGCGGTAAAATCCCGGAAATGTCCGAAATGGCTCGGATCCGTGGGAAACGAAACTGGTGGTAAGATGACGCTTCCCCCACCCTAGATCGGTGTGTAATTAGGTATTTTACAGGTGGGAGTAGAAAAATGTATTTATTCCAGCATATGATTTGCTTAAGAATAGAATTTGACAAAATTAAGAAAAAGTGTTTTTCAGTTTTACGTTATTTTTAGTTAACTTTAATTAGTTTAAAGTATGATAGAAAGCTAGAAAGCTGTGCAATTCCAAAATTCACAGTACACTTTACAACAAAGGTAGGACAAAATGACCGCTTTAATAAATTATCTGACACTTCTGAACAATTAAATGCAACAAAACTTTTATTTTTATCAAAATTAACTAAACGAAACCCGAGGAGTTAGCTGCAGCTAATATAATTCGATAGTTAATTAAAATATAAGTTTAAAAATATGGAATATGGAAATATGAAATCAAAATTCGGGATACCATGCAATTTATTGCAAAATAAAAAGTCTACACCGCAAATTTGTTCTAAGAACAGTTTATGAAGCCATACCTTAAAAAGAGAGAACATAATAAAATAATTATATAAAAAAAAAGAAACCAACAGACCACGTTTGCAATTGCTACTTGAAGCACACACACAAATTTTTAATATGAAGGGGTTCCATTTGCAGAGGTACAACTTTTGTTACTTTTAACTCTTTTGGCACAACCTGTATAGGATGAAAATAATTTTAATTTTATTGTGGTAAATATTCCACGCCGTGAATGACGCTGTATATAGATAAGTTATAAGAACAATTAGTAAATATACAGGCAGTTACCGCTAAGAAGTTCAACTGGTTTTAATGGACTGTAATTGAACCGATGACTGCAAGAAACCTAAAAAGTAGATGTAAATTTTGAATAAAATTATTGCATAAGACATAAACATAAACAGTGCGAAATGTTTTTACTCTTCATAGTTATTTCTTGTTTCTAGTGCTCGAAATACTTGGATGATCGAGCATTGAATAGTGAACACCTGGATATAAAATTGCAGTTAATTACTAATTATTGTTGATTTCTGCTTGATGTAGGACACAAATATTTCACAATGGTAGCAAAATGAAAAAAGTCGTTCTCCACATTCTCATCCAAGCTTATTTTCTTGAACATTTGCTTTTCTTTTTTCTTGTTTTGTTAAGATTAAAAGCGGAGTTAATAAATCGGAAACTGATTGCTATTTCGTTAAACTGATACAACATTTCTGTTTAATTGTGTTATTAATTGTAAATTAAAAAAAAAATCTGGACACCGTAATCCCGACTGAGTGATCTATTTTCATTTCAACAAAACCACTACAAAAATGTAAATATCACGGTGTATCATAACATGCGTTTCATCAGCAAGCTTAATAAATATTTACGAAATAATAATAGATTCGTAAAGGATTCCATTACCCTTTTTTATTACAGAGCGTTTCGCGGGCAATACTTTGGGTGGAGGAACGCTTTTTCTTCCCTGTCATTAAAGGAAGTAATATCGTTGCCGCCAGCGGCGCGCGTATGTCAATTTTTCTCTCCCGAAATGAAGTTTATTAAAGTCATCTCCTCTGAGTCTTGGAAATTTATTTGTTATTAATCAAACCAACCGAATTAAGTAAACGACCTAGGGCACTAGCACTTTTCGGGACGTTTTGGTATTTCGGGTAAAACCAGTGATAAAACTAAAATAACTTTCAACTTTCATTGTCTTTATTTGACAAAATTACAGCAAACGATTGATAAATAGTCTACATTAAATTCATGAGAAAAATGAGTTACTTCAAGCTGGATCGCAGAAATCTCACATTCTAAAATATCTTACATAACAAAAAATAAGAAACCGTGTTGTTTAGTCAATTTTTAAATGATTCTGTTTTTTTTTTTTGAGTTATGTCTATTGAAATTATTACAGTTAAACTTAGGCTCAATTAAGAGCGCACGCCAATGGTGCCTTGTCTGCAGTCACTATTTAAATGCCCACAATATACAATGACCATTAGAAGGTAACTTATGTTGTGTGTAGTTGTGTATATCCATAATGTCTTACTGAGCTATCATGGGCACAGGTACTAGATACTTTCGCTACATTAGGTTCCTGATGATGACCGTTGGAATATGGCGGATACAAGGCGAAGAGGTGTCAACAATATATAAACATTTGTACCAGACTTATTCAGTCGTATTTCAGCTGATTTGTTCGTCGGCAGTGATTTCATTTGCGGCCGAAATCCCTACATTGTTCAGAAAAGACACTGCTGCTGGTGAGGCTTTATTTTTAAAAAAATATTTTTTTTTGGGAAAAATGATTTTAGTGATGGACAATGTGGGTAGACTGATGATTTATTTTGTAATCATATTTAAAATATCTATGTGGCAGTCTAAGCAAATGTTGCATTTGCTGCAGACAGCTTTACGACAGGACAATGAGATATCCAGTAAAAACGACGAAAAAATTCAGCAAATATACGAGTGGCACATAAACTACGATAACAAAATTATATCCGTTATTATCGTTCTGGCCATTTTGATTGGAATCTGTGTAGCTATATTGGGTACGTCGACAACTACAAAAGTATAATGCAGTTTTCCAAAAGCTATATTCAGCGGGTTGTTTTTTATTTTTTTACAATAGGAGTGTGAGATATAAATTGGGTACGTTGCCGAATACAAAAATATAGGGTTGTTTTCCAAGAGCTACAAGCAACGATTTGTAGTTGTTTATTTTTTTTACAATAGGGGTAGAAACGACGAAAATAATTTTAAAAATACGGATGAAGGACGTAAAACTCTAGACCATTTGTAATTTTATACGATTCTTATGTATTTTCTTCTAGGTGATATAGAATGCTATACGTTCTTTAAGAGATCCGCTCAAAATAATCTAACAGAAAAACCCTTGCCTCTTAATCTGTGGTACCCATTCGACAGGAATAAATATTACGCGTGGGTGCTGATCGACCAAAATATTCGGTCCACTTTTTGTTGTTTGTGCATCGGTGTCGTTGGAGCCTCGGTGAATTCCGTAGTAATTTTTTTAAAGCTGCAGTTGAAATTGCTGCAACATCATTTCAGATATGCGGATAATTGTCAAGGAAAGAAAGTTCTGGAAATGAATGTTGTAGAAAGCAATTTGAAGTTGCTTTGAATCAAGCATCAACGGCTCATTGAGTAAGGACTTTAAAATATTCATCTTTGCGAATATATAAGATTTTTTTTTAGATATGTTCAGACTTTCAACAAATGTGTCAAAAATGTAATATTGTTAGAATATACAGTGTCGTCGCTTACATTTGCAATAATTATTCTGCAAATCACTGCGGTAAGCACTATCCACCTTTAATTGGGAATTTGCTAACTTGTACCTGCATATTCGATAAAGCCCTAAAAAAAACAAATCTTCGATGCTAATCCTTGCAGGGGGAGCCACTAGTCTTTAACTTCACAATGTTAGCGTACACTGCAATTCAATTACTCACATTTGCCTGGAATTGTAACGAAATCATCTTTCAGGTAGGTATGTCAAAATAAATTTGTCACTGTGTTTAATTAAAAATCGTATGTCTAAGCCCTTAAAATAATTTATGCTATGTAAAATGTAATTTTTAGAGTTTTCAACTAGCGGCGTCACTTTACGAGAGCAAATGGTATGAGCAGAGTAAATCGGCACAGCGAATAATATACATCATGATGATAAGGTGTCAGCGACCTCTCTCTTTGAGGATAGGCTTTCTGGGGGTCATGGATTTGCAGGCTGGATTGTCGGTATGTGTATTCTGTTAACAGGGGTTAATCGATTGTAGCTGTTTTTGAAAAACGATAAGTACTATTTATGGTTTCAGAGGCTTAAGCTGGGCTACACCTATACTTCAATTATGCGCTAGTGACATGGGTGGAAACACAAAAACTGCTTAAAGCAAATCTCTTGTATATAGCGAATTAATATTAATTAATAAATATCTTAATTTTCGCGGACGTTAATTCAATTTTGTTATTTCACTTGGAAAAATGTAGATATGACGCATGGAGTTTACATTCCTTTTTATGGCTAATTTTTCATTTTACTGGTTACGAATCCCCATATTAGAAGATTTGATTAATAACCATATTCCTTGGTTTAAAAGGTAAGTTTACAAAGTATGTCCTTAAAGTATTACAAACAGATGCTTCGAATGTGCTGACATAGCCACATTTTTTTCATAGGGACTTCGCACTATCAGGAGATGGATCACATGGATCTAACAACCCACGTTTTCCATTATCTGGGTACGCTTAGCTGAGTAATTATTTGAACTTACGTTGCAGCTACTCGATATCTTTATTTGCATTGTATTTTAAAGGAAAAACTTCAAAAAATATTTTATTTGAGCGCTACCTCAAAACATCTTCGAAAAATAAAATATAATTACATTATTAAAATAACAATGTTGACGGTAACGGATCAAAAAATGTTAGTTCCAGTGTCATGTTAGCGGGTAAACCACTTAAAATCGGCATCAAATTGGTTCTACAGACACTTGCGAAATTCTGTAAATGGTTAATTTGATAAGGTTTGGTATCTCTTCATCTAATTTACAAATAATGATTCTCGCAGTAAAAACAATAAACAATTAGTTCCAAGGGTAGGAAGATTGACAAAAACCCCAACTCTAACACCAATATTAATAGCAATGAATTAAAAACCGATCAGAACAAAGACATGTGTTATTCTTTCAGAATACAAAGTAAAGTAAAATATTAGTTTCGTGTTAATTAACAGTAAATGGAAATAGGAAATTTTGATTTTCTGTAAATGAAATTTGGATAGTTACGTACTTATGTGGTGTTGTTTAGTCCATATGAACATTTACCCGACAACAATGAGATCCATCAAGAATGTACAGGTTGTCCTTCACTTTCATGTTATTTTTAATTAGTTTTCATCCATTACTATTATTATTAATAATGTTATTGTTTAAAAAAATTAGTGTTAGCAGCCCATTGGTTTTTAAACAACGTATAATAATAAAATTTTAACCATTGTTAAAAATTATGAAAATGTAAAAAGACATAAAATTTCAAAATTGACAGTTCACCCAAAGAACAGGCTTGACAACAAAACCAGACCAAACTTTTATTTAGAAAGTACAACAAATTATAATTTTGTCTGTTCTGCGAAAACACGAGCAGTTAGTTACAGGACATAATAATAAAATTCAATTGGCCAACAATAAATTGGTTCAACAATAAATTAATCCAGTTATAGTCCCAAAGTTCTTTTCAGGTTAGAATAATTTTTTCGGCACTCTTGGATACCTACATTTACAGCTCACTATAAATTTCCCTTACATAACTTTCGTAGTATTATTAGTGAATTTAAAATTTTTACAAAATTGAAGTTAGTTATAAAACCTTGGGTTCCATAAGCCTTATTGAAACTCAGATTTATTTTGACGGTTAAATCCGACTGAAATACATTTAGTACTTTTGGAACGACCTGTATAATATTAAAGTAATTTTTGAAAGTAACCGCAATGAACCTCACATTTTAATCACAATCTTCCTATACTGCATGTCGTAAATAACCTTGTGTGTCATTAATTAAAACTTTTACAGACCATGTGAAAGAATCCCATACATACTACTGCACCCAAGTTGCTTACATAGTTTGTAAATCTAACAAACTAACTACACAAAGCTAAATCTCACAACCACGGCTTTAAAACGAGGGTTCGTATCAGCAAACTTAATAAATATTTGCGGAATAATAATCGATTCTTAAAGAATTCAGCTGTATTATATTACAAAGCACTTCGCGGATAATACTGGAGGTGGATGAACGCCGTTTCTTCCCTGTTATTAGAGGAAATAATAACGTATACCTTGCATAGCGCCAGTGGCGCCTATCTATTTTTTTCTAGTTTAACACGCCGGTCCTGGTGGTTCATTTGTTTCAAATTGAAACAAGCCAAAGAAATTTCTAATTATTTCTTAAATATGACCTTTTTACTGATCTCATTAAATAAAATATTAAAATATATAATTCATTCGTTATATTTAATATTCAATAACTCTTATGATTAAGCTCTGTGTATTTCTACCAAGAAAAAAAAATACCAAGCAAATTTTTTGTTGATATACCTTCTGCCTTCATGGTATATTTACCCCGATTCAAGTTAGTGTATAGTTATAAAATTATACACGGATGTATACGAAGCCATCCTCACAATGCAAATATCTGATTGGTCTTTCTTCATTATTTTATGAATAAGTCAAACTTCTCAAGAACTATGTGAAATGCTGTCATTTACTATAAAATCTTTGCGTCCTTATGAATTTCAAGATTTCTGACTCGTAAGCGATTTGAGTATTTGCGCATTGTCGAATGTGCACGCCAATGGTGTATCTTTTCGTGATACATTGTACGTGCTACACTATTTACGTGGGGTATAATAAGACCACATGTTTGTGGTATATTCACAGTGTTCCTATCGCTCACTATGAATTCAACCAGTAAATACTTTAGCCACATACGCTTCCTGATGATGTTAGTTGGAATATGGAGGATACAAGGCGAAAAAATGTCAACATTAAAAATTTATTTGTACCAGACTTATTCAGTGGTATTTCAGTTGATTTGCGCTTCGGCTGTTATTTCCTTGGTTGTTGAGATACCCGCATTGCTCGGGAGAGACACTGCTGCTGGTAAGGCACATTATTTATTAGGGACAGTACAGGCGAGAACTCAGTGTCAACAAAATTATTTGCCAATTTAAATTAGAAGAATTTGTATAGCATTCACGCTACTTAATTTACTCAACAATAAAACAAAAAAGGAAAATATAAACAATGTCTACAGCTCATTAGAAAGGTTTCGTGTAACAGTGCATCCAAGTCTCTTTATATTTGTCAAAATGGAGGGATTAAAACAACAATATGTTTGCTTCGCGGGAAATAAAGAGCATTCCATGGTAGTCTGTTGCGTATACCACATGCAGCTAATTATTTTAGTGATGGACAACGTAGGCCGGCTGATGATTTACGTTGTAATAATATTTAAAATGTCCATGTGGCAGTCCAAGAGAATGTTGCATTTGCTGCAGATAGCTCTGGACGAGGACAGAGAGATATTCAATGATACCGACGAAAAGATCCGACAGATATACGAATGGCACATAAGCTACGACAACAAACTTATTTGGATAATTGTTGCTTTGGCGATCTTGATTGCAGTATGTATAGCAATACTAGGTGTGTCGAGAAACACGTATTATTTATTGAGGAAGGTTGCTTGGTGTTAGATCATATTATTTATTACTTTCGAAGAACAATTGGTTAGTTATTTATTACTTATTTATTTAAGGGGATGTAGAATGCTACAGATTCTTCAAGGAATACGGGCAAAATAATTTAACAGATAAACCCTTGCCTCTCAATTTGTGGTACCCATTCGACAGGAACAAATATTACATACTGGTGTTGATCGATCAAAATATTCGGCCAACGTTGGCTTGTTTGAGTATCGGTGTGGCTGGGGCCTCGGTGAATTCCGTAGTAATTTTTCTGAAGCTGCAATTAAGGTTGCTGCAATATAACTTCAAACATGCGGAGGTTTGTAAAGGAAAAGAAAACAAGTGCACCGAATACAATTTGAAGGTGCTCTGCGCAAAGCACCAGCAACTAATTAAGTGAGAATCTCAGAAACTTAATAGTTTTACATATATTGTCTAAATCCTGTTTTAGATACATTCAGGGCGTTAACCAATGTGTTAAAAATGTAATATTATTAGAATATGCGGTGTCGTCTCTTACATTCGCTATAATTATTCTGCAAATCACCGCGGTAAGCACTAATAAACTTGTACTTTTAGCATTTCGGGTCCAAATATACTTACTTACAGGGCGAACCATTAGTCTTTAACTTCACAATGTTAACGTACACCGCTATTCAGTTAATCACATTTGCCTGGAATTGTAATGAAATCATCGTTCAGGTATGTAAATCAAAACAGACGAGTCGTTTTGTTTAGTTACAAATGGTATTCCTAGGTAATGAAACTTATTTATGTCATGCAAATTGGCATTTTTAGAGTTTTCAACTTGCAATGTCCCTTTACGAGAGCAAATGGTACGAGCAAACTAATTCTGTACAGCGAATAATATACATCATGATGATCAGATGTCAGCGACCTCTTTCTTTCAGGATAGGGTTTCTGGGTGTCATGAATTTGGAGGCTGGATTATCGGTAGGTGTATTCCACAGTATTACAGTCGGTAAGTCATGCATTTTTGATTTCAGAGACTTAAGTTGGGATATACATATACCTCAGTGATGACCTAATGTCGCGAAAGAGGAAAACTCCATAGTTTTACTGTAATTGTAATTTAGTGAATTGAAAACCACTTTAGGTAAGTTGTTAAAATTTTCAAATACCTTCAGGAAAAATGTCATAGGCAATCTTGCTTATACTAATAGAACTGAAGAACGGCAAATCATAAATTTAACAATTTTCAATCGCCATCTCCAAAATTTGAACTTTCAATTTGTTACGTATTTTTGTAGTTTTTGTTTTAATAAATCTTGATATCAATTAACTTGCTCTTGTGGAGGCATCATTTTTATAATTAGGTTATTCATAATTTCATACACATGAACAGCCAAAACACATTCAAAATCAAAAACCGAGAAATCGGAATTGTAATTATTTCATCGATTAACAATTAATCAACAATGTCAATCAGCCATGTTTCCGTTACGTTGTTTTGTTTTTATTATCTTATCGATGGATAATGATGCATTAGGTTTTTAAATTCACAATTTTTTGTCACAACAATTCCAGCAATGGCAGAACACAGGTATGTGCTACTTTGCAACTTGTGAACATTCGAATTTCGAATTGGAAATTATTGTATAAATTTCCCAGCTGAAATGTAGAATCCTTTTAAATCTCAATCAAATTAAATCGGCTGTTACTTGTGGAAAGCAGAAAAAAGAGCGTCGACAACGTATTAATTACAAGTGCAATTAATTATCTTTGGTGCACATGGAAAAACTAAAACAAAATGGCAGCGTGTCTATAAATGTTGTGCAAATAATTAATGAACTTTTAATTTCGTGTTGTAATGTAATACCGACGTCTTGTTATATGGTTACTGTAATTGGTAAAATTTTCTAATAATAAAATAAAATTTACAAAAAAAAGATTTTCACGAATCTTAATTATTGTATAGGGTGGGTCGTTTATCTCGGGACACTACCTAATCTCAGAAACTATAGAGGATGGAGTCAAAAGTTAAATACCAAAGTTAATTGGTGTATTACAAACCTTCAACTTATTTTAATGTTGTATATACGGGGTGTCCAATTTTTCGTTTGCGAGTATCAACTCTCTTATTTTAAATGGAACTCCTGGCATATTATTTCATTTTTGACATACAAATACAAATACAAAAATACGATATACAAAATTTCAAATATATTTTGTGTTCTATGTAAAAAATGACGTTTGCGAGATGTAAAATATCTGAAAAATTCTTCAGTCGGAAGCATTTATTATTTCACTTAAGTAAGTTTTGTTGTAGACAAAGAACTCGCGATTTCATAAGAAATTTCTATATATAATAATACAAGGTACGCCAAAAATAAGCTTTAATATGACTTAAAAAATTTACAATGCAATTGTCATATTTAGCATTAAGATTTCAGGCAATTATATATAAAGTTTATATAAATAAATGTCTATCACAGATAACGTGCTGTTGCCATAATGGTTCAGTTAGTGTAAAGCGGCTTTAACGGCGTTTGAACAAAACAAGTGCTAGAACGCTGCTTGCGTATTATGTTTACCACAGAGGAAAAGATTGATATGTTAGGAAATTATATATCGAACAATAAAAACCGGCTGGCCCTTAGAAAATTTCCATTAAGGAGGCGCCCAGAAAAAAAATATCTTCAACAGGATTTATCAACACTTTAGAATATATGGAACTTTGAAGAAACAAAAAAATAACGTCGCCGTATTTTGAATGATTAAGAGCAACTTAATATTTTAATATTCTGTTGCATTTTGCAGAGACCCCTGAAGATTCAACCCGATATGTGTCTTTAGATCTAGTTGTCTAAAAAACAACGCTTCGAACGTGCATTCAAATAAACACCTGGAAGTCTTATAAATTCTGTCCAGTGCAGAAATCAGTGCAATGGGATTACATCAGGTTAGATTTTTACAACAATGTTATGGAGAGACACTTTTCAGAAAATATAATTGCTAATATTATTTGGGCAGATGAGTCTACATTTACAACCACAACTCAACTTTTTAACCTGAAAAATACCAATTCTTGGAGCAACTGGAATAATAATTTTAAGGTTCAGAATAATAGGTCCAGTATTTTTTGATCAGAATTTAAATTCTCAACGCTACTTGAAGATTTTAAATATTATCCATCCCTTTCTTGAAAATAAAGTGCCTGAAATTGAATTAGATGGCGCTCCTTATCACAGAATTTAAGAAATTAGCACCTATTTAAATGAACACTCCAAGGAGCCCCGACTTAACTCCCCTATACTTTTTCTATGAGCTACACTTTAAGATTTAGTATTCAAACACAAACGGTCAATTGCAGTCAACTGGGAACCTAAACGTCGGATTAGAGAAGGTATCGGCTATTTAAATGGGACTGAATCTGTTAGAAATGCCATTATGCATTTAGAAACCCTTTATACTACTGGTATTGCTCAAAGTGGAGGACATATTGAACTGTTACAATAGTTGTTATCTTTTGCAAGCTATTATTTTTAATTGATCGTTGGTTAATAAAATATTCACCAACGTTATGGTGTATTCTTGGCCTTATTCTGTATAAATAATGCATACATAATCTTTGGCCCATCGGCAAGATCATGGTCAACAATGAATTGGCAAATCATAGTGGCAGCACTTTAGCACTTGCTTTGTTCAAACGCCGTTATAGCCACCTACACTAACTGAACATATATAGCAATAACATATTATTTGTGACAAATTTTTAAAAGGAAATATTTCAAAAAGTAAAAGTATTAGGCATATACAAGCTTATATAAAATTCCCTTAATTTTTAATGCTTAATATGACAAGTGAAACAATAAATGCTTCCGAATGAAGAAATTGGCAGATATTTTACGTCCTGCAAACGTCATTTTTGGCATAAAAAATTAAAAATGGCAAAAATTGTTAAGCTTAGGGATAGGACATTATATACAAAACACGTCTAGAAATTTGTATAGAATTCAAAATTGTAGTAGTATACCAGGTGTTCGATTTAAAATAAGAAAGTTGAAATTCGCCCACGAAAAATGAAATACCCTCTATATACAATATTAAAATAAATTAAATGTTTGTAATATCCCAATTAACTTTTGTATTTAACTTTTGGCTCCATCCAGTTTCTGAGATAAGTTAGACAAACGGCCCACCTTATACATAAATTAGTCTGTTCAATATTTACTTTAGCAATAGGTGCAGTTATTTTAGATTATCATTTTAGTAAAAATTAGCACTCCATTTCATTTTAATATGGTATTTTTTATTTTTATTTTTTATTTTTCAGATGCACCTTATTCTATCTGGACTGATTCTGCTATGTATTTTTGCAAGGGCATTGGCGGATACCCGTTGCAGTTACACCACTAACTCTAAAAGAAAGTAGCACATACTCGATTGCAATCAGTAATGTGTTGCTCGTCGTAGAACGCATCACCTCTGTCGACCGTTTTTGAAAAGTAATATCGGCCAACTTAAGTAAATCCGATATAAAGCCAATTTACAGTAACACCTTGTCGTAGTTTGTACTCCTAAAAACATAAGATCTGAACTGGAACTAAATAAAATTAACCAATGCAAGCACTTTCCAAGGTTGCAAGACTTTTAACTTCGGCGATAAGTAAAAAACGCTTTATACAGGGTGTATGCACAAGAAAATTACATCGATTTTGTGGAAGTTGCAGGAGCACGATAGAAAAACCACAAGAAACCGCGAAGCTCTTTCTTTTTAAAATAAAAGCCTGCTTCGCGCTAGGCGCTACGAACTTGCCCCACCCACCCACGATTTTTCGAAAGCATCCTGTTACTTACGCTGCAATGCGACGAGCTATATGATATGCTAACCTATTTTAGGAGCAAGAATATCAGCTACACGCCGAAATTTGTGAGCACGGCTGGTCCGAACATCGATGGTATTGGATGCACGGGAAATAATTACTGTAACAGCAAAAATAATATAATAATAATAAAATAGGTCTCACTTTTATAAACAGGGCACATTGTCGGAAACTCTAGGATTCAAATAAAACACAAAAAAAAATCACAAATTCCTATAATTCCTTTACCTATAGCTGAGAATTTGTTTTTCTTTGACGAATTTTAAAGTGTTCGATATATAGTTTAATAAAACTGTAATATGATGATCACTAATGGGGACAAGCATCCCTCAAAATTATCTAACTTGTTTATTTCATTAGGGGTGGACGAAGTTGTGCACACAAACAATATAATAAGAACCAGAAATAGTATATTATGCTACAAGTTTGATAAAGGACGCGAGTTTGATTTGGAACGAGAGGAGCGAGTGCTTGACGAATATTTGAAGAAGTTTATAAATGTGTTGAATAACATATTTTTCCTACGATTATTACTTTTCGGCTATATTTTTGCGGAAAAGCATAACCACATCAAAACTGACAATGGTCGAAATTTTATCGACATTTAAAATCTATGGAAAACATTCAATCGCTTCCAAACATCAACCACCGGGAGCACCTGAAGTCGTTCACGGTAGTATTTAACGAATCTAACGTCTTAAAGTCACACCGTGAGCATGCCTTTTTAGTCCAGAGTAGGGAGTAGAAAATGGTTATTAACCGTAGAAAAGATCGTATTAAAAATCGGTAGCGAATTTTTTCAGCATAAATGTACACCTTTTTCGATACATGTTGCCCAAATTTAAAAAAATATCCTTTGACGTAGAGACGATAATTATCTCTTTGACAACGGGTAGAGCGCTACTTGCTTCGTGTCTTTTCTACTTTTTTCGTTTTTAAATATTGGAAATATTTATTTTCAGATGTTAATAAACGCCATTTTGTCAAGTGAACTGACAGATGGTCGTCTTCAATAGTGTATTGTGCAACAAGTGTGGTAAACGGCATTTCAGTCACGAGTGTATATGGCACGAGCGGGGCGAGTATTTAATAAACGAGCGGCTTAAAAACTGTACCGGACGTGTTGAATACTATACTTTTCCTACGACCGTTAGTTTTTGGGTACATTTTTACAAAACAACGTGGGAAATATCTCCGAAAACATCCGATTGCTCCAAAACCTGTGCGGTAAAATCCCGGAAATGTCCGAAGCGGTAAAGTGACGATTCCCGCACTCTAGATCGGTGTGTAATTGTAATTAGATATTTTACAGACGGGAGTAGAAAAATGTTTTTGCATTTCTTTAATTTTTCAAGTTGATGATATTTTGATATCAGAAACTGTTATGTATGTAGGCAATCTGTTTTCTTCTGAATGTTATTCTTTCAGTGTGTTCATTAATTCTTATTTTTTAATTAAAATAATTTTCTACACTTAAACTGTGATTTTGCTGGTTGTTTCTGTTATTACTAAATTTAGGAAGTTGGCTTTGTTTCTGTGAAACGTTCTTTATGAAAAATTGTAATAAAATTTAAACGAAAAATTCAAGAATAACTAATCGATATAAAAAGATATTTGTAAAAACGAAATCCTAAAACTTCAAGAAACTGCTAACATTTTATCGAAATAATTTTAATAATTGCATCGATATAAGCCATAGGAACAGCACAATTACTTTCATTAGACGCTCATCGATCAATTAAATCCTTTTAGTGATTCTCTTATCGATGGATAAAGTTGCATTAAGCTTACTTATTGTTTATTCCGAAATGCATATATTTATATACCTTTTTGCCACAACAATTCCCAATCGAAAAGAGAACGCGGGTAAGTCGAACAAAAAATATTATATCAGCATTTCTTACAGACGTTACGACAATTCAAATTAATTAAAAATTAATATGTATCATAGAGCTGAAAATTTAAATCCGAACGTTGGAATCTATTGCAAATTTTCTATAATTTAATACCAGTTGTTTGTTATCAGTTACTAATGTCCCAACATAATTTCAATTTAATGCAAAATAGGTCAGGATCGCGGAAACTTTTATGATCCCATAACGACTAGAATTTTAACTCATTTAGTTATACTGCAAAGGTGCCTTTGCTATTTTGCTATTCTCGTCAAAAGACATGCAACTAATACTCATTTGATAATCTTTTGCGGATTCTGCAATTTGTAATAATTTTACAATAACGTTGATTATTATTATTACTTCTTAAACAATCGAATGCACAGAATAGTTACAGCTTAATAATAATTTTTAGAATTTTCTCATGCACATTTGAATGATCCTTTCTCTGGCGGTTTTTAAATCTGCGTTATTATTTTGCAATCGGTTTCATTTATGGAAGATAGTTCAAGCTATTATGAATATTAAGTGGTTCAATGGAAAAATTCTTTGCATATACTTACATCTAAGATTTAAGATGCTATTATAAAAGGAGCAGTTGGGAATTTTTTTTCCATTAAAATATAATGCTCTCGCAAACACCACAAATTTTTATCAGTACCATACCTGTCAGATATAGATTTAAACCATATTTAAAATATTAATGTGGAAAACTATTGTCATTATTACAGTTTTTAAATGGGAATAAATAGAACCTTTATTAAACTAAACATGCTATTTAAAGCAGCATTTTCTCCTTCCTGTCCTCACTCGTTTTAATTGTGTTTATAATTTTTTTTTTAAATTTATATTGCAGATCACGATGCTGTATCTTACATCAGCCGGGTTAATATTGCTCTGCACTTTTTCCGTAGCCATTGCGGATACCAGTTGCAATTTCACTACTAGCTCCAACAGTAGCCTCGGTACCCTCAGTTGCATTTCTGTAAATGAGAGTAACACATACTCGACTGCAGCTAATAATGCGCTGCTCAACAACTCCTCCGATGTAAACCGAACAACCAGCTTCGTCTTAGAAATCACCGACTCAAACTTTAGTAGTCTTCAGTCGTGGATAGTATCGCCTCTATCGACCATTTTAGACAGAGTAATATCGGTAAACCTAACTAATTCCAGCATAGAGACGATTGATAATAACATCTTGTCGCAGTTTGTGAGTTTACAAACGGTAGACTTGAGTTGGAACCAAATAAAATCGATCAATGCAAGTATTTTCCAGGGCTGCGGTAATTTAACGACTTTAAGTTTAGCAAACAATCCTATCATCGCTTACGAAAATAATTCTTTTGGTAACTTAACCAACTTAAAGACCTTGAACCTGACGGTGTTTGTTGGCAATATTAGTGCGGAGAGCCTAAACAGTACTTCGTTGGAAAAGTTGAACTTCGTAAGTTCCAACATAACGTGGTTTAACGACAACAACTTTATTTTTGTCCCAAATTTGACGGAATTGAGATTCGACAATAGTACAGTGAACAATAACACCAACTCTACCCTAAACGGACTGACTAAGCTGGTCTATTTAGACAAAAGACTATTCAGGTTTACCAACGATATTCCTTACGGCATATTCAAAGATTTAAAATCTGTAACTGATATGGATTTGAGTTTAATTTATATTAGGGGTATATATAATGGCACATTCGAAGGTCTTACCAACGTCCAATCGCTTAACATTTCCTTAAATTTCTTGCTTAATATTAATGATGTGAATATCTTTACCCCACTTCAAAATATTACGTCTCTAGATATGGCTGGATCGTTCATCCTGTACCCTTTGCCCGTGAACTTATTCAACCCGCTTAAAAACTTGAAACAGTTAAACATAAGCAACAACCCCACGGATGATTTGGTTACTCCAGGTGTACTCAATGGTTTGGATAATCTGGAACTGCTAGACATGTCGGATAACTTGTGGTTCGGGATAAACGCAACAGCCCTTAGCAATCTGAAGAAGCTGCGCTGGTTGTATCTAGACAACAACTTTCTGAGTTTGACTGTATTTCCTCAATTCGACTACAAGACATTGGCGGACGAGTTAGTTTCTCTGGAATATATCGGGATTAGCGATAACCGCTGGCAGTGCGACGAGCTATATGATATGCTAACCTATTTTAAGAGCAAGAATATCAGCTACACCCCGAAATTTGTGAGTACGGCTGATCCGAACGTAGATGGTATCGATTGCACGGAAAATAATTAATGTAACAAATAAAAATGGTTATCTCTTGTCGTATTTCTCTTTTAAAGAAACTTCCACAGGCTACTGCAATTATATTTACAAATCTTCTGGATATCTCCTGCGTCGGTTGTTTACGAATCGAACTTGCTGACGTTTCGCCAATCGTCCTGTTGGCTTCTTCAGAACTTAACTCAAACTGACTGACTAAGTTTCAGTTAAGTTATGGTTAGTTTTTTAAATAGTATCTCTTGTGGTTTCAATCATTGCTTTGTTGACTTCTATTATAAACAATAATAAACATTAATATATAACTAAGTTTGTCTTGTAGACAAAATTTAAAGATACGTAAATTGCTCAAATCTCGTCATCTCGGCAATATTGTATTGGGTGAACCAATTTACAAGGAGAAAATTTTACAATAACTGTTTTTTTATCTATGTTAGTTGTATTCTTGACGTATGCTGTATATTTTTGAATATACAAAAAATAAGATATGTGGTTCTGTATTTAAAGGTATGTGGTATTTAAGACTTTAAAAGTACACAAAAAAATGACTTGCGGAATACACTCACGCAACTTGAATAAAAGCTTTAAAACAGATATTCATGTAATGATAATACACATCAATTAAGTTAGCCTATTTATTTAGATAATTGTTGATGAAAACGCATTTACCCTGATCAGAAGACATAGTTTTTTAATATCCCAAATTAGAATTTTAATTTTTTTTATCATTTTAAAATATATAAATAGGTTTCGTTTCTTTCGTTGCTTTTGCAAAAAAACATTTATATAGTACAATGGGAATGTAAAAAGGGACACAATAGGGTTCGAACAGACCCATCTAATATCGGATTCTCTTTTGATCTATTGATTTTTCTATATTTATATAGTATGTATAAGTATTATTTAATTTTGTACCTACCCTTTCAAAAATTCACTATTTCTTATATTATTTTTCATTGTTCATGCAACTTATTTTTAAAAAATAGCTTTATAAAATATGTTGAGATTTTCAGATTTTTCTTTATGATATTTTGCAAAAATTGAAACGGTACCCTCAAACCTAGTACGATGTAGTTTGTTCGACTTCAGCTCTATAAAATGATGGAGTAATAATTCTTACGCGCATCCAGCATTACGTCAAGATCAATGACCACGAAATATTTTCCGACTGTGAGCAACAATCCCATTTTCGGCATTGTAGCTCAGAGATGATTATATCCTACCTAAGTCCGGTGTCTCCAATGTTTGGTAGTCTTCCCTTCCCGTAAAGAGTTCTGTACTATCAAGCAACTGCAGTCGGTCTTTTATGACGAGTTTTTATATTTCTGTGTGAACTCCTATTACTAACAATTAAACAACGTCTGCGTGCTATTTTAGACAACCCTCATAATATGGAGGTGCCTTCTTATATGTGAGAATCCTGTCAGGATTAAGGAGGCTGAGAGCCAAATTTTGGTGGTGTGGTAGAGATGTAGGTAAAATTATAAAAAATGAGTTTGAGTTATTTATGGGTGCATCATTGAGGAAACTAGAATGTAATGAATGAATAATGAAATACCTTTTAAAGTAAAAATAATCTAAGAGTATGAAAATATGAAATATTCAAATTGAAAATAATTTAGAGCGATAGAGCATTTACTCTTGCTTTGAAGCGTGTGTGAAATATTAAGTAAATCCCGAGCCGTTCGTCGTGTACTTCTAATAGGCCATCAACTGTGGGTTATTTAATATCCACAAGAGATGTTAGTCATCAACATTCATTTTTTTCTTGAATATTATTAAAATATCACACCGCTTTTGAAAACATATTTTCATGACTATATCCAACAGTTTATGAAATCCTTTATTTGTTTTATGTGTTGTGTTTGAGAATTATAGATGCTATTTTTGTATCAAACACTGATCTGGTAAGTAACTGTGGTGTAATTTCAATCGATAATATTTCTGTTTAAACCAAAGTACAATTCCTGTTGTCCCTAAAATGATTAGATATCGTTGTTTTAAAAAAATTAATTTAAATGATTTTTTGATATACATGTATAGCTTGCCCAGTGGTAGAATGTAAACACAATATTAGCCATTAAGTTACCATATTTAATAACCTCTATTTAATCGACATGCTCCAGTTACGGAAGCTGGCATAACTAAAGCGCGTGCCTTAGTTTGGTTAGTTGCATTAAAGAAATTTAAAAGAACAAAGGATCCTAATGATTGGAAGAAATTTAAATTTTTAAAAAACTTTATACCATGATAAGAAAGGAAAAGAAGAAATACTTTGATATGGCTTGTGGGGAAAATAATATTAAAAAAGTCAGCAATAAAGAGTTTAAAGCGCTTTAACATTGTAAATGCCAAAAATTAAGCTATACCCAACAAACTTTCCGATACAAATAATTTACATAATTATTTTGGTACATTTATTCGGAACATTTCCGATTGTAATGAATAAATCACTTTTTATGACGACAATCTTTATAATAATAATTCGTAATTTTCTTTTAAGCTTTTAACAATAAGATAAGTAAATAAGGCGCTGAATACTATTAAAACAAATGCAACTGGTGTGATGACGTATCCCCGTTAATGCTAAAGTACTGTAGTCGTATGAGCGCAAGATTTCAATACCAAAAGTATCTAAACCAATGAGGTAAAGTCTGTTCATAGATATAAGAAAGCGACTAACTGTTACGAATTAAGGAAAGATCCGGGCAAGCTGTAAGAATGAAATATGACCGAACAGGTCCGTGCTTTGCTTAGAATATAATTATTTGGGGTTTTGTTAGGAAAGATACTAAACAATATTTTTTAATTTATGTATGTATTTATGTTTAAATTTAAAATAAAATTACAAATTATTTTTATTACCTACTTAAATTACTTAAAATTATTCATATAATATATCAGTATCACCATCGCTATCATCGCGATCTTTCTAATTATTATTTGTTCTATATTATTTGCAATATGGATATACGATTGTTCTGCTTTTTCTATATGTTTAACATAATTTGCCCAACTTTGTGGAAGGATGTTAAAAACTTCGGTTTCTATAAGTTTGAGGACATTGGACACGGGGAAAAACATTGTTACGACGAATGGCAGATTTCAGTTGGTGCCAAACATGTTCAATAGGATTAAATATACAGTGGTAAGGTGGAAGCCTTAATACTCTATGCCCTAGATACACTTTCATAAGGTAGTTCTGCCACATTTAACACCGGTTTCATCTTTTTCAAGCCCCCTAATTAAGATATCTAATGTAGGCACGCTCTGTTCCTCGTATAACTGGTAAATTTTACACCGTATTATATCTTGATCACTTTTATCTACACTCGAGAAAATGTCAGCATCGCTTCTTTTTTTCATCACTGAAATGGGATTATTCACAATTTTCCATACAGTTGATGTTGGAATTTTCGTCAATGTGGCCGCTTCTTCTAAAGATGCTTGCTTGCTGGCACCACGTTCAATGAGAGTCAAATAAAAATTGTTTATAACTTCCTTGGTCTCAATAGAATAATGTTTTCTACATTTGGGCGGGAGCATCTCCTGAGATACACTAGACTCGCACATATTTTGCATAATTCGCACACGATTCAACACACGCTGTATTACACACGAAATAAGAATGATTACTAATAAACTTTAACTAAGTAGTATACCAAACCAAAGAATATTAAACACAGGTAGGTATAAAATTATTTTCTATTGAGGACCATAATTTTACCTGAATTTAAATTCCGAAACTTTACCACCCTTGGATAATCCCATTCAAAAGCAATTGGTCACATTCTTATATCTATGAACAGACCATATAATAATATCCATTTGATAAGCATTCTTTCCGCAATTTCAAAAATTTACTTGCATTTGTACTGTTGTTGTTGTATTGTATTAATGTATTGGATGATATTTTAGGTCCTCTGTTATTTATTGTGTATACTTCGGACATTCTAAAATCATTAACTTTCTGTAGAATTCAAGCGTTTGCCGAAGGTACACAAATTTATTATTTTTTTGAACAAAATGCAAATTACAATTTACGAACTTTGAGTCAACTTGCCAAAAGCCATAATCTTAAGTTAAACCCCACAAAATCTTGTTTACAACTTTTTGGTAATAAAAATAGGATGAATAGGATTAAAAATTCTTTAAATATTTTAATTGATGGCACAGTGCTTAACTTCGTTAATAATGCTAAGAACTTGGGGGTTTGTTTAGATAGCGAGGTATAATACATCAATTTTAGGTCAAAAGTTAAGGAAAAAGTTGTGCGGGTCCTTTGTCTTATCAAATTTCTAATTTTTATTGGGTAGCTTACGATAGAGCCTCGTAGAAGAATACATTAATGTACTTTTTTAATAAATACTATAAACGTTCGTGTTTTTCGTATAATGCTATAAAATATTCAGTACCTAATAACCTGGTAAATTTAAATTGTAATACGTTTAAAATGAAATATAATGAAGAACTGCTGCAGAATTTACTGTAGAGATTTTGCATACAGAATTTACTGTAGAGTTTCTTTCTGTTTTCGTAACTGGGATAGGACGTCATCATCAATTTCTTTTTTAAATTTGTGGTTTAGCATTGTGCCACGTACTGGTTCAGTAGAGTAGCTAATTCTAAGTTGATGGTACAACTAATTGGTATTGGTATTGTATGTTTATTATACCATTATTTGAAATAAAAGTCGTTTATTATTATTATTATAATTAAATAAAGAAGATTTTGTTCTATGTAACAAATAATTGGTTTACTTTCGCTGAAATTCCAAAAAATAGCACTGATAAAGTCGATACATAAAAAAGGAAAGATCCAGCATGGGTTCTTAGAAAGGGAAGTCAACGCAGATCGCAATAGTTGGTTTCATTCAGAAAGTTTTTAACAACCTTCAAAATGGCGAATGAGACAGGGAACACATTAGTCAAAAATTGGAAAATTGTTTTAAGGTACCTGCGGCAAACAAGGCCCGGCGGGTAATAAGGCCCACCAGCCAAAACTCGAAACCGACGCTTCTCTTTTAAAAACCGACAACGTTACGTTGTTTCTACTAACTTA